CAGAGACACACAGATACACATATACACAAAGACACACATTCAGACACACATACTGATACACAGGGTCACATAGAGACACATGCAGATACAAAAACACACACACATACATACAAACAGATAGACACATGCATACATACATACAGACACATATATACATACAGATACATATACATACAGACAGACAGACATACACATATACATACATACAGACACATCCATACATACAGATACATACATGTTTGCAGACACATACATACAGAAAGACACTTACATACAGATACATTCATTCATTCATTCAAACAGACACATATAGATACATGCAGATACATACATACAGACACATACATACATGCACATTTTTTATGTGTTTCCTACCTTTGGAGTGCAGGAGGCTGACTCAGGCTTTTCTTCTCCTCCCGCGCGGCGCTCGGTGAATGCTGGGAGAAAGTGACCGGCTGTCACTTCCTACCAGCATCCCGACATCATCACAGGGGGTCCGGTCGTACTCTCAAAGCGGCCGGGCCCCTGAAAGCAATCGCCATCGGGTGGCCCTTAGAGCATTGGCCACCCGATAAGCCCCCACATTGCACGACCCACGGTAGTAGTTTAACGCAGGCCGCACGCACCACGGTGGCTGAAGGACTAAAGGGGCAGCTGCTTTGGGCCCCCTAAGACTGACAGGGCCCGGGGCAGCTGCCCCTTTTGCCCTGTGTTAAAGATGGCCCTGCTTCTGATACGGATTTTCGTTCTGGTGAAATTTTCTGTGAGCAGCTCTGAGCATGGGCACAGGATAAACTAGCAGATCAGGCTACTTGTATAAATGACATTATTCAGGATAAACTTGAGACAGTTGAGAAGTACCACTCTAGATTGACACAGACTTTCTCAGACTTAGGGTTCAGCACCTATAATAAAGCGCACACCCAGATGTTATCTGCAGCCTTTGTGGCAGGCCTAAGGGAACACATTCGTAAGGGGTTGGTTTTAGCTCGCCCAGAGTACAGAATCATCCCACTGGACACCCTTCTACTGGTAGCCAAGGGTTTAGAATCCGTTTTGCAACCCACCCAGCAAAAAACTAACCCTCTGATGTATACCACCTCCATACCAGTTGTCAGTCCTAACCAAGTTCCTCAGATACTCCCCCATCAATACACCCAGTTACCCCAGACACTGCCTGCAACAACTCCCTCTCCCCGGGACCGGGCTATCACGACAATCCAGACTTGTTTTAACTGTAATCAGCCAGGTCACTTTAGGAGAGATTGCCCACACCCTAGAGTTATCCGCCCACAGACTCCCCGGTACCAAAGTCCTCATGTCACCAGCTATGGCTTCCCCTCCACTGGTTACCTCCCTGCCCTGCCCCATCCACAGTTGCCTCAGCTTCCTCCTCCTCCTCCCCCTGAATATACCCAAGCCCGACTCCCTGCCTCAGAAACCCGTGCATACACTTCAGCTTCCGCTGAAGGGTATGACACAGATGATTTCCAAGACAGTCAGCCTCTGCCCCGCCATGCTAACCGTCCATCCCGTCCTCCCATGCAATCTAATAACCCTCCCTCCACTTCCCGCCGGTACCAGGGACCAGATTAGGCCCACCTAGATTTATTACAATAGGTAACTGGCAAGCCTGTGTCAGCAACCCCTGCCATGGCAGTGTCTGCGGGGGACGGGGGAGGGCCCTTGGCTACTGTAGTTCTCCCCGTGGAGGGTCATCCAACCACCTTTCTAGTTGACACAGGTGCAGCCCGTAGTGTCCTCAGGGAACAAGACCTGCCAGATCCTTCCTTCTTGTCTGACACCGATGTTTCCTGCGTTGGGGTGGATGGTACACCCCGCAGTAACCCCCTTACTAAACTTCTGCACGTAGGTTCACATATTCTCTCCCGGTTTGTAGTCTCCTCTACTTGCCCCATTAACCTCCTAGGTGCTGATATTCTCTCTCGGCTCCAGGCATCTATTACCTTTACTGCTGACGGTCAGGTCGAGTTAACAACCCCCTTATCACAAAAGGACACCTCTGTCCTCTGTTCACTCCCCATCTTGTTAAACCTAACTGACCATACAGGGAATACACGGGTCTCACAAACCCCCAGTGCTCTGGATCGTATCCCCCAAGAACTTTGGTCCACCGGCCCGGATGATATTGGACGTTTGCATGTGCCCCCAGTCTTGGTTAAGCTCCTGCCTGGAGCACAGCCACCCCGTAGGCCACAGTATCCTCTGAAGCCTGCACAAGCCAAAGCCATCACCAAACAAGTTGAAAGCCTACTTGCCAAAGGTGCTCTCATCAGGTGTACATCTCCATGCAACACACCGCTTTTCCCTGTTAAAAAGGGAACTATTAAAGGCCAACCTGACCAGTACCGAATGGTGCAGGATCTCCGTGCTGTTAATGAAGTAACAGTAAAAGACACTGCTATTGTTCCAAACCCACATACTCTCTTGTCTCGGGTTCCGCCAACTGCCACAATCTTCACTGTAGTGGATCTAGCTAATGCCTTTTTCAGTGTGCCCCTTGACCCTTCTTGCCGTTTTCTCTTCGCCTTCACACATGAAGGACAACAATATACCTGGACTGTCATGCCTCAGGAGGCCCAGAATTCCCCCACACAATTTGCACACGCCATGTCTCTGGAGCCCTGGCAGAAATCTCACTCGGATGTTGTCCTGCTCCAATATGTTGATGATCTCCTTCTATGTGCTCCTGATTTATTCATTGCTGAGCGTGACTCAGAGGATCTCCTATGTTTCCTCGCTGAAGCCGGTTGCAAAGCTTCCAAATCCAAGCTGCAATGGTGCCGGCCCTCTGTGGTCTTCTTGGGACATTGTCTTTCCCATGGCACCAGACATCTAACTTCTCAGCGTGTATAAGCTATTTTGCAACTCCCATTACCTGCAACACATCAGACTCTTCATGCCTTCTTGGGTCTCATTACATACTGCAGGTCCTGGATACCGGAAGCCTCAAAGCTCATGCAGCCACTCTATGACGCCCTCAGGAGTGAGCCCTTCCACCTTACTGAAGAAACCATCACCTGTTTCCACAATCTGAAAAGAGCTATTGCTTCTGCACCCGCGTTGGGCCTACCCAACTACCAGCTTCCTTTCAATCTGTTTGTCTCTGAAAAGTCAGGACATGCTTCCGGAGTCCTTACCCAGAAACATGGCTCAAGACAACGACCTATTGGCTATTTTTCCTGCATGCTTGACCCTGTTGCAAGGGGTAGTCCCTCCTGCCTCAGAGCAGTGTTTGCCGCCAGCGCTCTCCTGGACAAGACTAATGATTTTGTTCTTGGCCACCACCTCATGGTGTTGGCCCCTCATGACATTACTGCAATCCTACAACAAGTTCAACCTAAACACCTCTCTTCACAACGTCACCTCCGTCTACAAACTTCCTTACTCTTACCTGACAATGTGAAACTTCAGCGCTGTCTCTCCCTGAACCCAGCCACTCTTCTGCCACTTCCCAAGGGGGGAGTTGTACATTACTGGTACAGCCTGGACATCAACCCAGAGGTTCGGGCAGACTTACAGCTGCCTGCACTTGCCCCCCCACATGATGAACAATCAGAGGCCCTACTTCACTGCACCTTATGGTTTAAAGACATACCAGGCCCTGATATGAACTATGAGGAAGAATTATTCCAGCTCAAAGAAATCCAAATTACCCTGACTGACTTATTTTAGGACCCCACAGGTACCATGCTCATCTTAGTCCATCTTCCAGAGAATGTGACACATCTCTATCATCATTGGGAAACAGCTATCCCACACATATCTCTCACCAGATCCCCTGACACCCCATGGAAAGACCTGGGTCCGATGGCCAAGACCTGGAGTCAAATGAACCAAGAACAACTGACTTCTCTGGGGATCAACAAAAAGACTATTAATTACTGTACAGCAGGGTACCCAAGGTACCACACAGAAGCTTGTGAAGACCCACTCGTCACAGACTGTGACCTAGATATTCCTCATGATTGTTTTGAACAAATGAAAATGGAAACGACACACCTACCAACTGTCTATGAAGCTGCATTACTCAACCCGGATCAAACACTATTTGTGGATGGGTCAAGATTTGCTGATGAACAGGGACAATATCACACTGGGTATGCAGTCACCACAGGATGTCAAGTATTACAAGCAGCTGCCCTACAACCAACTAAGTCTGCCCAAGAAGCCGAGCTTACAGCCCTGACTGTGGCCTGCAAATTGTCTGAAGGTCTACGTGTCAATATTTACACAGATTCAAGATATGCCCTAGGGGTAGCACATGACTTTGGCCTAATTTGGAAGACCAGAGGATTTCCTACGGCTACCGGTACCCCAGTAAAACATGGGGCAGCCATTGCAGAACTGATGGATGCTTTGGAACTTCCAGCAGAGGTGGCAGTACTAAAAGTAAAAGCCCATGGAAGGCTAGACACAGAAGAAGCACGTGGCAACCACTTGGCTGATCAGGCAGCCAAGGAAGCAGCGCGGCAAGGATGGGAAGTGGGCAGAAGAGTGGCCACAGATACAGTACCCACCTACACTATGCAAACATTGCCTACAGATCTTAGGCTTTTGAAGGAACAACAAGCTGCTGCCATTTCCCAGGAGAAGCAAAGTTGGAAGAACAAAGGAGCTGTGCTTCGTGATGATGTTTACACCATCAATCTTAAGTTTTGCTTACCTAGAAGTATGTATTCAGCGGTGGTCCAATGGGCCCATGGGCCAGCCCATCTGTCAAAACACCTGATGAACTCATTGATTGACAAGTATTTTGAAGCACCTGGTATCACTACCTTAACACAGAATTACTGTAAATCTTGTACTATATGTGCTAAGTGCAATCCTGGAAAGATCATAAAGACCGCACCTAATCACCTGGCCAAGCCACAATACCCCTTCCAGAGGATCAAGATTGATGCCCAAGGGATGCAGGGGAATATGTGATGGGAATGTACTGGAAGGGAGGTGGCTCACATAATGCACTAGGGACATTTTACCTACAAGACATGCTCACCTCCCCCGACTGGGTAGGAACCACACACATGATCATTAACCCATTAAAACCACATATTAAGACCTTACAACCCTACCTTTGAAGATACCATGGCAGTGGAGACTGGGTTTTCAGACACTAATTTGTGGTTAGAATGGATGAGATATAATGCCAACTCACATAATAAGACTAACTGCTATGTATGTGGAGGAGCCAGGCCCCATCTGGGTACAGTACCTCTGAGCTTACCTCCTGAAGTAGAATCATGTGTTTTAAGCCTTTATGCACAGTCCACAACAAACTCCTCAATATGTGAATCATGGAAGAGAGTCTACCCAATCACTCATGGACATGTAAAGCCACCTGATGGAGTCACCATCTACCCAGGTAATTACACATGCTATTCGATACCTAAGAACACTGGGTTGTATCTGGGCAAATTCCCATCAGGATACTGCTCAACTTACCACAATCCACCTGTATCATTGCTAATGAATCACACAAAGACAATTGGTGATATCTATTGGTTATGTGGTGACAAACAATTGAGGTCCCAACTAGCTGGGCAATGGTGGGGGGAGTGTGCCCTAGCCAAAGTTATAATGCCTATCCACATCATCCCAGATGGTAGTCATAACACATTAAACCTTACGCATGTACATTCTAGAACCAAACGAGAGGCTCCCATCCGAGGGAGCTTCGATCCCCATGTGTATATTGATGCCATAGGTGTGCCAAGGGGGGTGCCTAACGAATTCAAAGCAAGAGATGAAGTGGCAGCAGGATTTGAGTCCTTAATTCCAATGATAACTGCTTGGCAAAGGACCCTCTTCCAGGTAGGGACAGCAGTTCTTATAATGATTATCATCTTCTTATTCTTAACCTGTTGCGTGCTCCCCTGCATACAGAAATACCTACAGAAAGCAGTAGACAAGACTATAGATGACGTTACCCCTACTTTCCTACATCAAGACATCACAGACCTTGAAGATGACACCCCACACACACCCCTCCAGTCACATCAGTTTAAACAGACAACTGCTTTCCTGTAGGGACAGTGTAGGGAAAGCGTCTGTCTTTACGGGCGAGTCTCACGTGCGGAGATGTGGTGGACTAGCTACTGCGGGTTACCCACGGAGTGAAGAGTTTGATGCTTGTGAAGACAGATGAGCTGCAGGCAGCTAGGGATACACTAGGGACAGTAGCAAGTTGTCATAGTAAATAGCCATTTTAGGGGGGACTGTTGTGGAAATAAGGTCTGCACATATTTCCTAGTTAATGAAAAAATGTCTATTTACTTATTTCACTATATGCAATATAAGCTAAGCACACATGTTTAATCAAAATGGCTGCTAGAAGCTTCTATCTCCTCCTCTCCTCCCCCTCCCTCTAACATCAACTAACTACCTCGTGTGGCAAGATGGCGCCGGGAAACCGTGGGAGACCCTCATGGCCCTGGTGACATCACCCTCAGTAGGCAGAGCATTAGAGCGACCACTTAACACCTAACCAATTATTGATGTATTATTCCATGTTATCTCTGACAATGCTTATGATGTAATTTCGCTTTAAAAGGAACCTGCCGTCCCCTCTGAATAAACATTCCTCAAGTTATTCAACAACCTGGAACTTGTGTCTGGTGTGAATTACTTCAGGGAGCGTGCACGCATTGTTTCATTGATTTGGCCAGGGGCAGATACACAAAGAAATAATCAATGTATTGATTGATTTTTCCATTTCACTTGTCATTTAACATTATCTCCTGTTATTCACTAGGAGTGTTAGGGCAAGTATTCTAGCATTATACGTGTTCTAACAACTAAAAATAAGTGCCTTTATATTTGTGTATTTGCAACTTTTTCCTCCACAATAAAGATTCCATCAGGTACACATAGGGTTAATATAACCTGCCTTTTAGGCCACCTACAGGTTTTCATCCATGTTCAGATTGGTTAGTGGGTATCCTATCAATGACAGAGGTGCTATTTTTAAACCTCTGTTTGGTTTAACTCTGTTCCCCTGGAAGAATATTTTTGGCAAAACGCGCGTCAGGACGTTTTGTGTATGGGGTTGGCCAAGTGATATGGGGTGACATTCTACCTATACTACTAGAGACAATACCACCCATACTATACTTTTACTCATTTATTTTTTATACTAGGATTTATTATTCTCTTTTGTTTGTTTTATATTTCACCTCACCCACGAGGTGTTTATTTTTCACAGCCATCTTTTATTTTTATTTTTTGTTAGGACATCTATTTCTCTGAAGTGAGGGGAGGGGGGATTAGCGTTTATTAAGGGGTGCCCTCGAAGGCACAGTAATGCAGAGATGGTCTGTTCTTGGTTTTCTACGCTCTAGAATTCCTTTTCGATCTACTAGACCATTGACAACTTTGTTTGTTTACTTTCCCCCTCCAGCTAATTTATAAGTTATTTATCATTTGCTACTTTTGTTATTTTACTTTCTAACATTTATTTTACCCATTGCAACTTTCAGTGTATTATAGTGGACAGTCTCTGATTCTGGCTTTTTCTCATTTATTTTTGTTTAATATTGTTTTATTTAGATTATTTGCTTCTTATTATTAGTTTATACACATTTTTCCTTTTCTAATTGTTCTGTAGGATTTATTCCTAATACTGATATATTATTGATTCTCTCGAGACCAAGGTTTTTTTTTATATATATATATATATATATATATATGTATATATATATACACACACACATACATACATACATACATACATACACACACACACACAAACATATATACATACACACACATTAAAAGTTATACATACATTAAAAGTTACGCTTTATTAGGGTTACTCTCCACCCATGTGGGTTTATCTCCTACATGGTTATTTTTTGTGTTCTCTTTGTAAATAGTTTAATTATTCTGGGGGTTACCCCCCATAACCATAGAGTAACCTGACACCCTCTCCCTAGAAGGTTTCTTTCATTTGGAAGAAGATAGCTTCCATTGATTTCTACCAGAAGGTGTTAGTGCATCGTCAATCAAGGATTTGAATGCATCTTATATCATTGAGAAACAGACCTTGATTTAATATTTTTGAATAAACTTTAACCCCTTAAGGACACATGACATGTGTGACATGTCATGATTCCCTTTTATTCCAGAAGTGTGGTCCTTAAGGGGTTAAAGGACCACTCTAGGCACCCAGACCACTTCAGCTTAATGAAGTGGTCTGGGTGCCAGGTCCAGCTAGGGTTAACCCATTTTTTAATAAACATAGCAGTTTCAGAGAAACTGCTATGTTTTTTAATGGGTTAAGCCTTCCCCCAAAGCCTCTAGTGGCTGTCTCATTGACAGCCACTAGGGGCGCTTGCGTGCTTCTCACTGTGATTTTCACAATGAGAGCCCGCCAGCGTCCATAGGAAAGCATTATAAATGCTTTCCTATGCGACCGGCTGAATGCGCGCGCAGCTCTTGCCGCGCGTGCGTATTTAGCCGACGGGGCGGAACGGAGGAGGAGAGAAGTAGGAGAGCTCTCCGCCCAGTGCTGGAAAAAGGTAAGTTTTACCCCTTTCTCCCTTCCAGAGCCGGGTGGGAGGGGGACCCTGAGGGTGGGGGCACCCTCAGGACACTATAGTGCCAGGAAAACGAGTATGTTTTCCTTGCACTATAGTGGTCCTTTAAAGAAACTAAGATCATGAATTTAAAAAAAAAAAAATTATATTTTGATATTGTGACAATGATATTTAGTATTTTAAAATGCAGAAAACATCTAAAAGCGTATCCAAAAATATAAACAATTTGAAAAGATTTACCAGCAATATTAAATTGAGGCCTAAAGTTGCAAAGTAACAATGGTAATATATGTAAAGTTTTACTCATCATTTATTATAATCTTAGTGAATTACATTATCCCACGAGCTGGTTTGGGTGCAGTGCGGCATAATAAATAGTCCGAGAGGACTGTGGGAAGGTAAGATACAGGAATGTAGTAGAATTTGCTGTCCCAGCCAGGGGTGTATCGTGTCCAGGGGTAAACGGCAGTGAGAGCATGTTCCATGCAGTCTGTGACTCTAGTCAATTTAGGACTGGCACTGCCCATTAGTAATTCTAAATTCTCAGCATCTGTGTACATAAAAAATAAAATAATAAAACAAAAAGGTTATTTCTTTGGTCAACTTAAAAAAACAGCAACAAAAAACAACATAAGTTAAAGGAACACTAGTCACCATAACAACTTAATCTAAATAAAGTTCGTATGGTGCCAGAAACCCCCATGGCACTTTACCTTAAGGGGTTAAACTGTTCAATTGTTTTAACCCCAAAGGTGGCCTAAAGTTGCCAGATCGCCAGGTTCCCAGCAGCGTCCCACAAGTACCATTTTTATGTACGGAGAGCTACTTATTGGCTTAAAATGTTAATTTCAGAAGCCAGATGCCACTGGGGAACCTGGAGATCCAGCACTGTATGCAGCTTTAAGGGTTAAAAAACATTCGAGAACAGTTTAACCCCTTAAGGTAACAAAGCATCCTGGGACCTCCTGGTACATTAACAAACTTTATTTAGATTAAATTGCTATGGTTACTGGAGTGCTCCTTAAACTAAAACGAATAACCATTTTGCATATTTTCCATGTTATCTTCCTTAGGTGTTGATTTAATAAGCTTTCTAAGTTACTTATCTACAGATGTTACTGTTAAAGTCCATGGAAATGTTTGTAGATAAATCATTTGGAAAGTTTTTTAAACAATATTGAATTACTTAGAAATCTTATTAAATTGAGGCTTTAGCCTGGTTAAAAAAAACTTAATCTAGTGATTATTCATTAAAATTAGTGATGTCCCGAACGGTTCGCCGGCGAATAGTTCCTGGCTTATAAAATTAACAATAAGGGGGGGACCTATTGTCCCCCCCACCCCTGAGCGGTGGGTGGGGGCCCTAAAATTAACAATAAGGGGGGACCTATTGTCCCCCCTGGCCCCCACCCCTGAGCGGTGGGTGGGGGCCCTAAAATTAAGAATAAGGGGGGGACCTATTGTCCCCACCGGCCCCCACCCCTGAGCAGTGGGTGGGGGCCCTAAAAATAACAATAAGGGGGGGACCTACTGTCCCCCCCCACCCCCACCCCTGAGCGGTGGGTGGGGCCCTAATAACAATAAGGGGGGGACCTATTGTCCCCCCCGGCCCCCACCTGAGCGGTGGGTGGGGGCCCTAAAATTAACAATAAGGGGGACCTATTGTGTCCCCGGCGGTGGGTGGGGGCCCTAAAATTAACAATAAGGGGGGGACCTATTGTCCCCCCCGGCCCCACCCCTGAGCGGTGGGTGGGGGCCCTAAAATTAACAATAAGGGGGGACCTATTGTCCCCACTGAGCGGTGGGTGGGGGCCCTAAAATTAACAATAAGGGGGGGACCTACTGTCCCCCCCGGCCCCACCCCTGAGCGGTGGGTGGGGCCCTAATAACAATAAGGTGGGGACCTGTTGTCCCCCCCCAGCCCCCACCCCTGAGCGGTGGGTGGGGGCCCTAAAATTAACAATAAGGGGGGGGACCTATTGTGTCCCCCCCGGCCCCAACCCCTGAGCGGTGGGTGGGGGCCCTAAAATTAACAATAAGGGGGGGGACCTATTGTCCCCCCCGGCCCCCACCCCTGAGCGACCCTAGTCACCCCTCCCTCCCCCAAAAAAATGATCTCCCTACCTACCCCCCTCACCCTAAAAATAACGAGGGGGGGACCTTTAACTAAAAACCTGTAAAAAAAAAATTTGATAAAAATAACTTACCATTTGATGTTTTCTTTCTTCTACAATCTTCTTTTTTCAGCCCCAAAAAAGGCCAAATAAAAAGCCATAAGAACCGACGCAATAAAAATAAAAAAAAACAAAAAACAAAAAAAAACGAGCGCACAAAAAAATTATCCATCTTCACCCATGGAGGGCTCTGCGCAGACTGAGCTCTGCAGGGCGGGGTATGGCTTATAAAGCCTTGCCATGCCCTGCAATTAGGCTAAGAACACTCTGATTGGCTTGTTTAAGCCATCCAATCACAGTGCTCTGTGTCATTTTACACAGCGTGGGAAAGTTCTTTTGAATTTTCCCACGCTGTGTAAAATGACAGCTGATTGGGCCAATCAGAGTGTTCTTACACAGCGTTGAATTTTCCCACGCTGTGTAAAATGACACAGAGCACTGTGATTGGATGGCTTAAACAAGCCAATCAGAGTGTTCTTAGCCTAATTGCAGGGCATGGCAAGGCTTTATAAGCCATACCCCGCCCTGCAGAGCTCAGTCTGCGTGGAGCCCTCCATGGATGAAGATGGATTATTTTTTTGTGCGCTTGTTTTTTTGTTGTTTTTTTTTTAATTGCGTCGGTTCTTATGGCTTTTTATTTGGCCTTTTTTGGGGCTGAAAAAAGAAGATTGTAGAAGAAAGAAAACATCAAATGGTAAGTTATTTTTATCTAATTTTTTTTTAACAGGTTTTTAGTTAAAGGTCCCCCCCTCGTTATTTTTAGGGTGAGGGGGGTAGGTAGGAAGCTAATTTTTTTTTGGGGGGGAGGGGTGACTAGGGTCCCCCCCTTTGTATTTAGGGCACCCACCCACCGCTCAGGGGTGGGGCCGGGGGGGACAATAGGTCCCCCCCTTATTGTTAATTTTAGGGCCCCCACCCACTGCTCAGGGGTGGGGGCCAGGGGGGACAATAGGTCCCCCCCTTATTGTTAATTTTAGGGCCCCCACCCACGGCTCAAGGGTGGGAGCCGGAGAGGGGGAGGACTGTAGGTCCCCCTTCATTATCTTTATGGCCCCTACCCGGCGCCCAGGGGTGGGGGCCGGGGGGGGAGGACAGTAGGTCCCCCCCCTCATTATCATTATGGCCCTCACCCGCCGCCCAGGGGTGGGGGCCAGAGAGGGGGAGGACAATATGTCCCCCCCTCATTATCTTTATGGCCCCCACCCGCCGCCCAGGGGTGGGGGCCGGGGGGGGAGGAGAGTAGGTCTCCTCCCCCCCTCCCCCTTCAACCAGAAAGAGTCCCTGTGGGTTTTAAAATTCGCCTGCCTATTGAAGTCTATGGCGGTTCGCCGGGTTTGCCCGGTTCGCGAACATTTGCGGAAGTTTGCGTTCGCGGTTCGCGAACCGAAAATTTTATGTTCGCGACATCACTAATTAAAATATAAAATGACACTTCTGATGAAACCTCCAAGGTGAAACGCATTAAGTGTGAATTTTTTACCTATTGGGATTCCTTTTTTTATATATTGTTGATTTGTAAATTGTAATAAAGTTAATCCTTTATAGATCTTATTTATTTTGAATTTGAATTTTACTTTGCTACTTACCTGCCTCCCTGTTTTGGGAACCATTGTTGAAGAGTACATTATTACAAACTGAGATAAATCAATTTGCTTTACAAACATTGATACATTATCATGAGATGTTGATCACACACACCTTTTGGTTATACATTTTTAAAACACTATACTTAATCCAAAAAGTTAACATCCTAGTAAACATTGTTCCATTTGTATTTTAACAATTGACAGACAAAAAGATTTCTCTTACGCAGGGATACTTCGGTAAATGGCCCTTTATAATGTAAAATAGTGTAAATATAACAGAACCCATAAATAATCTATCCTAAACAATGGCTGAAGGATGAAGTAGTTGGCTAAACGTGTCTGTTGGCCACTTTAATACATCTTCCTTGTTTTTGTATGCAGATGTAGCAGTCTATTACTTAGAAGTGTGAGACAAATTAAACCATAACTTTTTAATGAACACTATTTTAAAATAAAAATAGACTATTATTATTTATAAAGCGCCAGCAAGTTCCATAGTGCTATACAATGGGTGGACTAAAAGACAAGTATCTGTAACCAGACGGGTTGGATACAAAGGAACAGAGGGCACTGCTCAATGAGCTTACATGCTAGAGGGAGTGGGTAATGTGATACAAAAGGTAAGAGTAGGCTAGAAAAGTAGGTTGCTAGAATAATGTTCATTGAGGGCTTAGTGTTTTGTTTTGATGACAGTTTCAGGAGAGGAATCAGGGTGTGGGAAAGTTGTTCACAGTTTAATTGATATTGTCACGAACGCACCCTACTCCAAGAGTGTGCATGATGTAGTTGTGGTGGTGAAAGGGTTAAAGTTCACTATTTGTCTGCACTAGACCAGAAATAATGACAAAATCTCCCTTTTAACACCACCCACACTTAAACATAATAATATAACTATTAATATTTTGATGCTGCCACCACCAAGACAATTTATAAATGGGGTGCCTTGGTCCCCCAGGTAAATCAACAAGAAAAACCCACCAAATATTACTTAGTACAATATTTAAGGATTTGCAAAAATACTAATTAGTCACTTCAGGTAACGTGATTCTTAACCAGACAAAGGCAGAACTTAATATATTAATGTTTATTATGAGCAAAAAATAGTCACAGTGCATATAACAATATATGATAAACAAATTATTTACACCAACAACAGATAAAAACAAAAAGGATAAAAAACAGAAGTCCTAATTACTCACTTAGGTTTTCAAAGTACAACTTCTGTCCAGGGGGTCTCTGGCAAGGAAAGATGGTGACTCACTCACTCAAAATTAGATCTTGGCCCCAAGCAAGTACACCAGCACCCTTCAGGATCATTAGAGATATACCCTGTGGATTACCACGCCTTACCCAGAGGTGGAGTTAAGGCGTACCTACAGAAATAATAAGTGACCACCCCCTTGTGTCCAGACCCAGATCAATCCAAATGGAAACATTTGGTTCTATCTTCTCTTATGTACTCACCACAGAAATAATAATTGCCTCTATGCATTTGTTATTATTTTCCCATTCTATTTTCCCATGTTGCATGCCGGCCTTGTGATCCGATAGGATGGACACCACAATTCCGTACCCTGTGGTCAAGTTAGGCTATTCACGTTTGGACTTGGTTAGAATATGGCGCTTGTCACATTCCAAATATAACAAGAATGAGGCTTTATTATTATTCTCTGGGGGTAAATATGAATGTTTCTCTCTTTCCTTTGGATATGATACTGGAACAAGGCTAATGTCATTTACATATCAAAGAGATTGGCTCATTCCTTACAAGGTACATGCCAAAAGGATGAAGAGACATTCAGACTTTTTCCAAGTGTAGAACCTCACACCTTGCAGAGCCTTGATTACTTCACATCCATATAATGAAAGCCTTTTCACAATGCTATGCCATTCATACTGCCCCTTCTGTCATCTGACCTCTGTGGGGGTGCCAGTTTCAAAAGATGTAACCCCTTTTGACCTCAATAATACCATCTCTGTAATTTGTGCCATTTACTACACAAATTACATTAAAGGATAATATTTCATAGTGTAATAAATAAATTATGCACCCTTGCCGTGACAGATATGTCTTCCTGAAGAAGTAAGTTTTCAAAGATTTTTTGAAGGAGTGGAGATTGGGTGAAAGTCTAACAGAGAGGGTGAAGGGCGTTCCATAGGAACGGTGCAGTCCTAGAGAAGTCTTTAAGGTGAGCATCAGAGGTAGGAGTACAAACAGAGGTTAGACATAGGCCTAGATGGGACATACTTGTGTAATAGTGAGGATAAGTAGGAAGAAGTAGCATTGTGTAGAGATTTGTAAGCAAGTGTCAGGATCTTAAATTGAGTCCTATTTCTTACGGGAAGCCATCGTAGGGACTGACAAAGGGGGGGGAGGCGTGGGAGGTGCAGGCGGATAGGAAGATAGGCATCACCGCCGCATTCATTATACACTGTAATGGGGTAAGTGGGAACACGTAAGACCACTAAGATGCGGATTACAGTAGTCAAGGCGAGAGAGGACAGCGGCATGGACACGCACCTTTGCTGTATCAGGCACTAAAAAGGGTCAGTTGTGCGCAATATTTTTGAGATGGAATCAGCAGGATTTGGCAATTGATTGGACATGAGGGGTGAAGAAGAGGTAGGAGTCAAAGAGAACACCTAGGCAGTGAGCCTTACAGGTAGAGCGGACGGTGGCGCCATTGACGTGGAGGGACACAGACAAGGGAGTAGCAACACTTGATGGAGGAAAGACCAGAATTTCTGTTTTGGACAGGTTTAGTTAAAGGAAATGAGCAGCCATCCAGTTGAAAATAGTAGAAAGGCAGTCAGAGACACGAGTCAAGAGGGGTGGTGAGAAATCAGGAAAGGACAGATAAATATGTGTGTCATCCGCATAAAAATGATACTGGGAACACAAGGAGCTGATGAGTTTACCAAGGAAGGCAGTGTGGTTTGAGAATAGGGGACCAAGAGCAGACCCTTGGGGAACACCAACAGAGAGGGATTGGGGAGAAGAGGCACAGCCAGAGAAAGAAACACTGAATGAGTGCTGGGAGAGGTAGGAAGAGCGGTATCTCGTAGACAGAGATTACAGAAGATGAGAAGAAGCTGTTGATGTCAAAAGCAGCAGAAAGGTCGAGGAGAATTAGGATAGAGTAGTGGCCATGGGATTTTACAGTGATAAGATCATTGGATACTTTGGTCACAGAAGTTTCAACAGAGTGACGAGCGCAGAATCCAGATTGAAGCGGGTCAAGCAAAGAGTACGATTCAAGGAAGTCTGTCAATCTCACATACACAACTCTCTCAAGGATCTTTGAGACAAACGGCAGTAGCGAGATAGGGCGGTAGTTGGACGTGGAATTCGAGTGAAGGTTGGGCTTTTTCAGAAAAGGGATACGGTTGCATGTTTGAAGGGTAAACAATACACCATGATTTGTGTAGCTAATGCCAAACACAGGAATTCAAATTAAAACAGTGTGAATTTTCAATAGTTTTTAGTCATGTAAATGTTCTATATAGAACAATAAAAGTCTTCCCTTCTGATTGCCATTTTTTTCCAGTCATCCGAATACCGAATAACAAATGGGGAGCCAAACAATAAAACTCTTCCCTTCTGATATATGCAGTAATAGTTCTGCATATGAACCATTGAAAAGGAACCAAAAATTTGAATCCACCCAGGTGATTATGTAAATACCAAAAACATGATCCAATATTGCCATCTTGTGGCCAGAAATTACTATTGAATGAGGGTAAAGCCTACCAAAGAAAAATCACTCCCAAAATAGGAGGAACATAAGTTATTTTATCCACTATTATGTTTTTATGGTGTAGGTTGCAGATATTAGAAATAAGAACAATGTATGAACTAATGTGACATGTTGCACTATTAATGTTATTGCATGTATTGTGAAACTTTTCACTTAAGACTGCACAGACTCTAATGTGGTGTACCAGGGGCGTATCTGCTGGAGCATTTGGCACCCGGGGCAGATCCTATATTTGGCACACACCATCCCCCCATAAAAAAACACCCACAATTTTTTTTTAATGCATTTAGCACCGAGCAGTGTTTGTGTGGTTGAATGTTTTTGTATGGAATATGTGTTTGCATGCAGGCATGCATTTTTCTTTAGTGTGGTTTTTGAATATGGTGGTGTGTTTTTATGTAGTGTTGACATTTGGATGCAAGGTTGTATTTGTGTGTAGTGTAGGTGAAATGCTAAGATGTATGCACATATACACATATATTATAATATATACACACACACACACAGACACATAGGTTCACACATGCAGTTACATAGAAACACAGACACACAGATACAAACACTGGCACACACACACACATACAGACAAAATGATACAAACACAGACACACAAACCGATACAGACACATACTGACACATACCGATACACATATACCAACACACATACAGATGCACAGACCCACATGTATGTGTGTGTTTGTATAGTGTATGTAGTGTGTTTGTACAGTGAATGCAGTGTGTGTGATTGTATAGTGGATAATGGTGTGACAAGGGGGTGATGGTGAGAGGGAGGGGGTGATGGTTTGGGAGGGGGGAGTAATACTGTGATGGAGGGGGTGATGGTGAGAGGGAGGGGGAGATGATGAGAAGGAGAGGTTAATGATGAGAGGGGGGATGATGAGAGGGAGAGGGTGATGGGAGGGGGGTGGTGATGTGAGGAAGAGGGGAGTGGCCATAATTTCCAGTCTGCCGCTCGGCGGAGCTGGTAACCTGCGGCAATGCTCTGATTGCTCAGATCTCGCGAGACACATGGTCTGCAGCTCTGCTCACTGCGGAGCTGCAGACCGGTGTCTGCGATGGGCACAGAAGGGGCATCACACCCGGCAGCAAATCGAGCAAGCCATCGGGCCCCCTCCTGGTGTCGGGTCAGACACAGTCTGCCCCAGGCACTGCCCCTTGTGAGTGGCACCCAGGGCGGACCGCCGCCCACTCTCCCTTAGTACGCCACTGGTGGAGAGAGATGAAGGTTTGAGTTGCCAAACGTCAACCTCAAAACCTGAAGGACTTGGAGAGGATCTGCAAAGAGAGTTAGAGTGTGTGTGTGTCTGTGTTAGTGTTAGAGTGTGTGTGTGTGTGTGTGTGTGTGTTAGTGTTAGAGTGTGTGTGTTAGTGTTAGTTTGTGTGTGTCAGTGTATATGTTAGTTTGTGTGTGTTACTGAGTGTGTTAGTTTGTGTGTGTCTGTTAGTGAGTCTGTTTGGTGTCTGTTAGTGAGTGTGTGTTTTGTAAGTGAGTGTGTATGTGTCTGTCACTGAGTGTGTGTCTGTCAGTAAATGTGTGTGTCTGTTAGCTAGTGTGTATGCGTCTGTTCGTGAGTGTGTGTGTCTTCAGCACTTACCTTTCTCCAGCGCCTAGGGCTACCTTGGCGCTGGGCATCCCTCTGCCCCGATCCTCCTCTCAGCTCCGAATGCGCATGCGCGACAAGAGCTGTGCGCGCATTCAAACCGCCCATAGGAAAGCATTACTCAATGCTTTCCTATGGACGTTCAGCGTCTTCTCACTGTGATTTTCACAGTGGATTTTCGCTGGATTAACCCTCAGTGTAAAACATAGCAGTTTCTCTGAAACTGCTATGTTTTCAGCTACAGGGTTAAAACAAGAGGGACCTGGCACCCAGACCACTTCATTGAGCTGATGTGATCTGGGTGTCTGTAGTGGTCCTTTAACTGTATGTGTATCTGCATGCACTGGCGTACATACCGTGGTTGCAGGGGTCGCAGCCCTGCGACCCTTGCGATCAGGTGCCCGCCGCCATGTGTTGCGGCCCCGGCCCGCGCATAGTAAGCGCGGGGGGCCCACGGATCAGTTTTCGCACTGGGGCCCCATGGGTTGTGTGTACGCCACTGTTCAGTGCTATATTTTGTACTTTGCAAATTGAAATACTGTGTGTGAACTCTGGCTGACTGAGAATTGCAGGGTTTTTTTAAGATCTTTCAATGAAAATCCAGGTTTTTCTGAGCAGCAAGAGTAGTGTTGCAGGCAGGTAGCATCATTAAAGATAAAAGCCTTTTTAACTTCTTGTTAAAGACAGACAGACAAACAGAAGCATGTGATTTTTCAGTTGCACTGTACTTGAATGCCACTGCTTGTACATTGCAAATTGCAATACAGTCTGTGATAGTTTACTGCAGAAGTGAATGGTACATTAAATGTGGCAGGTGTTTTTGTATAAAGAAGAAATAGAAGGAGGGTAGGGGTTGTGTTTTCCATGCCAACATTAACAGTAGTACCATGGTCTCTCAGTATCTTAAGAACTCTTCCTCTGCCATGGGAACTGCTCACACCTTCACCATTGCTACCTTAACCACCACCAGAAGAACCACCACCACTATAGGTAGTAGTATTCAGCTCTAGGATAGTCAGATCTGCATATCATTTCTGATTCACCACCCAGGAGGTGAATATTTCTCAGCTTTTTATGCTGCAATTGGTGACTTAGGTCTTAAAGGGGCACTATAGTCACCAGAACAAATACAGCTTAATGTAATTTTTATTGTGTGTATGGTATGTCCCTGCAGGCTTTTTCATGTAAACAACGCCTGTTCAGAGAAAAGAGTGTTTACATTACTGCCTAGTAACACCTTTACTGGCATTCTCTCAGACAGCTACTAGACGTGCTTCCTGGGCCAGTGCTGCACAATGTTACATAGTTACATAGTTACATAGCTGAAAAGAGACTTGCGTCCATCAAGTTCAGCCTACCTCACATTTGTTTTTTGCTGTTGATCCAAAAGAAGGCAAAAAGTTTGAAGCACAATTTTGCAACAAGCTAGGAAAAAAATTCCTTCTTGACCCCAGAATGGCAGTCAGATTTATCCTTGGATCAAGCAGTTATTACCCTACATTGAAAGATTATATCCTTGAATATTCTGTTCTTGCAAGTATGCATCTAGTAGCCGCTTGAACATCTGTATGGACTCTGATAAAACCACTTCCTCAGGCAGAGAATTCCACATCCTGATTGTTCTAACAGTAAAAAAACCTTTCCTTTGCCTTAGGCGAAATCTTCTTTCTTCCAGTCTAAACGCATGGCCTCGTGTCCTATGTAAAGTCCGGTTTGTGAATAGATTTCCACACAATGGTTTGTATTGGCCCCGAATATATTTGTATAATGTTATCATATCCCCTCTCAGGCGACGTTTTTCTAAACTAAATAGGTTTAAATTTGTTATATTAATTTTGTAGCCCGCCTCTGCACTTTTTCTAGTGCCATAATATCCTTCTTTAGAACAGGTGCCCAAAATTGCACAGCATATTCAATATGGGGTCTTACCAGTGATTTATAAAGAGGAAAAATGATATTCTTGTCCCGAGAATGAATGCCCTTTTTCATGCATGACAATACCTTACTGGCCTTGGCCACTGCTGATTGACATTGCAATGTGCATTACTGATGTTCAGCAAGGAGGCACTGAATGTTCCCCATAGAGATGCATTGATTCTATGCATCTCTATGGGGATATGCTGATTGGCGCAGCATGGTGTTTTGCAGCGGATTGGCAGAGATCATCAATTTTGATGATCTCAGCCAGGGAGGTGGAGTGGGGCAGAGACAGCCATGACGGACCCGTGTGGCACTAGGTTTATTACCCTTTTAAAGAGTGTCATGGGTGGCCGGGGGCCTGAAATGCATTTTTAATACTATAGTGACCTGAATACATGTTTTAATTCCTGTCACTATAATGTTACTATAAGCAGACTCAGCTATGCCCACAAGTGAAGTAGTAGCAGTGTCACAGGTACAAGTAAAAAGAGGGTGGTAGTTGTGGAAAAATATAAAGTGCAATCAATATATACAGTAGTCTCTTAGTGGAAGATCTAGGTGAAGTGGTGATCCTCACTATGATGTTGAATAGGTAGTAAATAGCAGCTTGATGAAAACCGTTGTAGTGGTCGAAACACTGCTGTTGTACACTTTGGGCACCTGAATAAAGGGAGACTACTTTCAAAAAGAAGTACTTGAATTCATCTTTATACTTTCTTGAATATATACTGGTTTTTGTTACAATGAACTTTTAACATAAAATGAAAATAATTTTACTCTGTCCTGTCCTGCTCTGACTTTTAGGTGTAGGTATGACCCCCACCACAGATATGCGAGTAGTCCAGATGTAGCTCAGAGAGAATCCATTTAAAAGCCAGGAACATGGCATAAAAAATACAAAGATTTATCAAAAGGAAGAAGCTTAAAAACTATTAAAAATAAACAGTCAGTTTGGGTTACATTAGAATTTGGTAATTGCACAGTAACTGTAGATGTGATTTATAGGCCCCCTGGACAAATTGAAGAGCAAGATAATCTACTAGTTGAGGAGATAACTTCTTTCTTCAATGTCATTTTACCTATCATTACGGTTTACTTTAATCTTCCTAATGTGAACTGGAAAACCAAAATAGCTGCTTGTACCAGGAGTACACTTATTCTAAACTCCCCACTGGAATTCTCTAAAAAAAGTCATTGAGGAGCCAACTCATAAGGAGGAAAAACTAGATTTAGCGTTAACAAATGGAGATTTCGTATCAGATATTACTGTAGGTGAAAATTTAGGATCTAGTGATCACCAGTCGGTGTAGAACAGCGACTGCCTCACACTACACAAAAAAAAGTTTTAGGTTTTAGAAAAAACAAACTTTAAAGAGTATAATATGTGTAAGTGAGTCATTATCAGACTGGAACGGTTTAAATGGAGTCCAAGAGAAATGGGACTATTAAAAAAATTGCACTAATGATTTAATATAAAATTGCATTAGGCTAGTCAGTCAGAGCACAAAAGTGAAGAAACCACTGTGGTACTTTGCAGGAGTGGCCAAAATAGTAAAAAAACTAAAAGCTAGCATTTGATAAATATAAAAGAAAACAGAATGAGATAGACAGATCTTTAAGATTAGACAGAAAGAGGCAAAGCAAGTTTTAAGAGCAGAGAAAATAGCCAAGTCAGTAAAAAAAGGGGGATAACATATTTTTTAGATACCTACATGAGAAAAGGAAAGTAAAACAATGATTAGAGTAAAAACAAAAGGAAGGAATGTAGAAGATAAAGGTATATTTATCTGTCTCAATTAATATTTTTGTTCAGTATTTACAGATGAAAATGAAGGAAAAAAATACCAAGTCAATTGTTACATGTGTTTACAGAGGAAGAGGGTTCTGTTTCAACTGTCTAAAGTAGAGACAAATAAGTCAATGGGGCCTGATGGGCTGCATCCAAAGTTATTAAAAAAAAAAACTTAGTGGTGTACTAGCAAAACCATTAACAGATTTATTTAACCAATCAGTGTTAATGGGGAGTAGTCCCCGAAGATTGGAAATTAGTGAATGTTGTGCAAATTCACAAGATAGGTAGTAGGGAGGAGTCGGGTAACTATACGCTACTAAGTTTTAATTTAGTAGTGGGAAAGCAATAGAAACCATGTTAAAGAATAGGATTGTTGAACATCTAAAATCACATGAATTTCAAGATCAGAGACAACATGCGTTAACTTCAGGGAGATCATGCAAAACTAATCTTTATTGATTTTTTTTTTATTGGATAACTAAAATAATAGACTAGGGTGGTGCAGTAGACATTGCTTACCTAGATTTCAGTAAGGCTTTTGACACTGTTGCACATAGAAGGCTTATCAATAAACTGCAGTCTTTGTGTTTGGATCCCAATATTGTTGAATGGGTAAGGCAGTGGCTGAGTGACAGGCAACAGAGGGTTGTAGTCAATGGAATATATTCATAGCAAGGTCTTGTTACCAGTGGGGTACCTCAGGGATCTGTACTTGGATCCATTATATTCAATATTTTTATTAGTGATATTGCAGAAGGTCTTGATGGTAAGGTATGTATTTTTGCTGATGATACTAAGATTTGCAACAGGGTTGATGTTCTAGGAGGGATAAGCCAAATGGCAAATGATTTAAGTAAACTAGAAAAATGGTCAGGGCTGTGGCAACTGACATTTAATGTGGATAAGTACTAGATTATGCATCTTGGACGTAAAAACCCAAGGGCAGAGTACAGAATATTTAATACAGTCCTAATCTCAACATGTGAGGAAAGGGATTTAGGGGTAAATATTTCAGATGATTTATAGGTAGACAGACAATATAACATAGCAGCAGGAAAAACTGGCAGAATGTTTTGTTGTATAGGGAGATGTGCTAGCAGTTGAAAGAGGGAAGTGCTCATGCCATTGTACAGACAGAGCACTGGTGAGAGCTCACTTGGAGTATTGTACTCCGTACTGGCTACCGTATCTCCAGAAGGATACTAATACTTTGGAGAGAGTTCAGAGAAGAGCTACTTAACTGGATGGCAGGGTAAAACTTACCAGGAAAGGTTAAAGGATCTTAAGGTTTATAGCTTGGAGGAAAAACGAGATGAGGGAATATGGTAGAAATATTTAAGTACATTAAGGTAAGCAACACAGTAAAGGAGGAGAATATATTTCAGAGAAGAAACACTACCACAACAATAGGACATAGTCTTAAATTAGAGGAGCAAAGGTTTAAAAATAATATTACTTTACTGAGAGGGTAGTAGATGCATGGAATAGCTTATCAGCTGAAGTAATAGAGGTTAACACAGTGAAGGAGTTTAAGCATGTGTGGGATAGGCATAAGGCTATCCTAGATGTAAGATAAGGCCAGGAACTAATGAAAGCATTAGAAAATTGGGCATACTAGATGGGCTAAATGGTTGTTATCTGCTGTCACATTCTATGCAACACATTTCGCCAACAAAAGGGTAATTCTTGTCCTGGTATTCACTCCTTATATAAGGATGGGTATTGTGAAAATTCCTGTGCAAATTAGCATTACTATCTGTCACATATTCATCTGCACATAAAAATTTGGTTAATGGGATTTACTGTTCTGGCAGGAAAAGTTGTGCCGAGCAACATTACTGTCCTGACTGGAAAAGTTGTGCCGAGCAGCAATCAACCCATAGGAGGGTTTGTGCTGAGCAGCAATCATGCAAATGGAACCTGGTAACTGCCTTTGGGGTCAAAGGCATGTTACAGCCAATCAGATCCACAGGTGGGGTATTTAGGCCCAGTTCTCATCTTGCTCAGTGCTCTGTCATGGTTACCCTTGTGGTTGTCCGAGAGCGGGTTATTGATTCTGGTTATTCTGGTATTTTGACATTGGCATTGATTTTGACTTCCCTGTTTTCTGGCATCCCTGACCTCTAGCTTTCCTTTATCGTTGAGTTCCTATCTGTGTCCCCTGACCTCAGCTATTCCTGACTATTCTTTGGTATGTTAGTCCGGGCATTCTAAGGTCCGGTATACATTACCTATCAGTCCTCTGTGTTACACAATTCTACGTGCTGGAACATACTGTAATCCTGACATTACGACATGGCCATAGACCCTGTAGAATTGTGAAAGCACATAGCTGGTTACGAAAGAAAACTAGAGGAGAATGATCACCGCATGGATCAATTTGCCCAGGCCTTCAATACACTTTTTTCCCAAACAGCGCATCTGCAGCCTGTGGTCTCCTCTACCGTCTCACCTCCACCTATAGTATACAAGGTGCCCACTATCTCTCTATCTCCTCCCGTGCATTTTGATGGTAATATTCAAGAATGCCAGGGATTCATTAACCAAATAGAGTATAATTTTGAGGCCTCACAGGGATCTTTTCCTACAGATAGAGCTAAAATTGGTTACCTGATGAACCAACTAAAAGGTAAAGCTTTAGCTAGGGCCAATCCATTATGGGAGAGTAATAAGAGTGTGGCACAGAATTACCAGGAATTCCTTATGGAATTTAAACTTATATTTGAACCATTAAGCAGGGAGGAAGACGCCTCCACTGCCCTGATGCACATCAGACAAGGGAACCGATCTATCTCGGAGTATGCCATAGAATTTCGTACCCTGGCTTCCAAGGTAGACTGGACTAACAGTGGGCTAATCTCTGCATTTAAAAAGATGAGATTGCTGCCAAAGATCTACCCAAGAAACTTAACAAGTCCATCACATTTGTTATGCAAATTGATAATAGACTAAGAACCAGAGACACTACTAGAAATAAGACCAGACTATGCCTTTAAATCCCCGTCTCTTTGAACCTGTTGTTCCTGACCTTCCTATACAGTCCGGACCTGAACCCATGCAGTTGGGGGTCACTAGACTGTCAGAGGCCGAGAAACAATATAGGAGAAACCAAGGTCTATTTTTATACTGTGGTAGTAATGAACATTTGAGAAACAATTGTCCCATTTGTCCGAAGAAACTACCGCACCTAAGCACCTTAAGGAGACAGGTCTTAGGTATAATGGAGACGTCCTCTGAAAAGAATAAATATAGACTTCTCATTGATATTTTGATTATTCATGACAAAAATAACTTTTCATGCAAAGCCCTGATGGACTCAGGGGCTGCTGGAAATGTCATTGATGTCCAATTTGTCAAGCATAATACTATACCTATCAAGGAGAGACTGTCACCCCTAGCGGTTCAAGCTATTGATGGGAGACCACTCTCACAACCATTGATTACACACAAAACCTTAACCATTAATATGTCCATTGGTGCCTTACATAAGGAAGAGATTAAATTTCAGGTTATTGCATCTCCTTCTTGTCCTATCATATTAGGCTTTCCATGGCTTAGCAAGCATAACCATCATATTGACTTAGCCAATGGGGAAATATTAGAATGGGGTAAGGAGTGTAATGAAAGGTGTATCTTGCATGTCACCAAAAAAGTGGGCACTATTGAATTACCCACTAGTACATCTCAAAACCCTGAAATTCCTATACAATACCGAGACATTAAAGAAGTATTCAGCAAAACTCAGTCTAATACTTTACCTCCTCACAGACCATATGACTGTTCCATTAACCTACAACCCGGCGCTATTACACGTAAGGGAGCAGTCTATGCGCTGTCACCTCAGAAGTAGAGTAATGGAGGAATATATTAAGGATTCATTGAATAAAGGCCACATACGAAAATCATCCTCACCTGCTGGTGCAGGATTTTTTTTTGTATCTAAAAAGGATGGTGAATTGTGCCCATGTATCGATTACAGGGCACTAAACAAAATCACCATTAAGAACGCCTACCCCATTCCTCTTATTGCAGAATAATTTGACACACTCCAGGGTGCTAAAGTGTTTACTAAGCTTGACCTTAAAAGCGCTTACAATTTAGTGAGAATCTAGGAAAACCACGAGTGGAAGACTGCATTTAATACCAGAAGTGGACATTATGAATATCTAGTGATGCCATTCGGGTTGTGCAACGCTCCAGCGGTTTTCCAAGATTTCATTAATGATGTACTCAGGGTTTACATTTACTCGTCTGTCTTGGTTTATCTGGATGATATCCTTCTTTATTCTCCTGACCTCCAGTCTCACCAAGATCACGTTAAACAAGTTCTGCAAACCTTGTTAAAAAAACAACTTTATTGTAAATTGGAAAAATGTATCTTTGACCAGTCTGAAGTACAGTTTTTAGGATATAATATTTCTGCCTCAGGGTTTCAGATGGATCCTAAAAAAATAGGGTCTGTTCTACAGTGGCCTTTACCCACTGGGTTGAAAGCCATTCAAAGGTTCATTGGTTTCGCCAATTATTACAGAAGATTTATAAAGGGATTTTCTTCAGTAATAGCCCCCATCACCAATATGACATGCAAGGAGGCTAGTAGTACGATATGGTCTAAGGAGGCTATTGAAGCAGGGGTCAAGTCCTGGGGAAAAAAGTGTGGGAACTCACCCAAGATTCCTGCCTCCCCTCCACCCCCCCCCTAAATTTTTTTTTTTTTAAATTACACTCCTATGCATATAGTGCAGTGCAGGGTGTGTATAATGAATGTAGTGTGTTTGTAGTAAATGCAGAGTATGAATAATAAATGTAGTGTGTTTGTAGTGAGTGCAGTGTGAATAATAATTGTAGTGTATTTGTAGTGAGTGCAGACTGTGTATAATGAATGCAGTGTGTTTTTAGTGAGTGCAGAGTGTGTATAATGAATGTAGTGTATTTGTAGTGAGTGCAGTGTGTATAAAAAATTTAGTGTATTTGTAGTAAGTGCAGTGTGTATAAAAAATTTAGTGTATTTGTAGTGAGTGCAGTGTGTATAATAAATGTAGTGTGTTTGTAGTGAGTGCAGTGTGTATAGTGAATGCAGTGTGTGTATAGTGAATGTAGTGTTTTTGTAGTGAGTGCAGTGTGTATAATGAATGCAGAGTGTGTATAGTCAATGTAGTGTGTTTGTAGTGAGTGCAGAGTATGTATAATGAATATAGTGTGTTTGTAGTAAGTGCAAATTGTGTATAATGAATTTAGTGTGTTTGTAGTGAGTGCAGAGTGTGTACAATGAATGCAGTGTATGTAGTGTGTTTGTAGTGAATGCAGAGTGTGTATAGTGAATGTAGTGTGTAGTGAGTGCAGAATGTGTATAATGAATGCAGGGTGTGTATAGTGAATGCAGAGGGTGTATAGTGAATGTAGTGTGTTTGTAGTGAGTGTATAGTGAGTGTAGTGTGTTTGTAGTGAGTGAAGAGTGTGTATAATGAATGCAGTGTGTGCTGGATGATGTGTGTGTGCGCGCTGGATGACGTGTGTGTGCGCGCTGGATGACGTGTGTGTGCGTGCTGGATGATGTGTGTGTGTGTGCTGGGTGATGTGTGTGTGTGCTGGATGACGTGTGTGTGAGTGCTGGATGACGTGTGTGTGAGTGCTGGATGAAGAGTGTGTGAGTGCTGGATGAAGAGTGTGTGAGTGCTGGATGATGTGTGTGTGAGTGCTGGATGATGGGTGTGTGTGCTGGATGATGTGGTGTGTGTGCTGATGATGGTGTGTGAGTGCTGATGATGATGGGTGTGTGAGTGCTGGATGATGTGTGTGAGTGCTGGATGAAGAGTGTGTGTGTGCTGGATGATGTGTGTGTGTGTGGATGATGTGTGTGTGTGTGTGCTGGATGATGTGTGTGTGAGTGCTGGATGATGTGTGTGAGTGCTGGATGATGTGTGCTGGATGATGTGTGTGTGAGTGCTGGATGATGGGTGTGTGAGTGTGCTGATGATGTGTGTGTGTGAGTGCTGGATGATGTGTGTGTGTGAGTGCTGGATGATGTGTGTGTGTGCTGGATGATGTGTGTGTGTGCGGATGATGTGTGGATGATGTGTGTGTGTGTGTGCTGGATGATGTGTGTGTGTGTGTGTGTGTGCTGGATGATGTGTGTGTGAGTTCTGGATGATGGGTGTGTGAGTTCTGGATGATGGTGTGTGAGTTCTGGATGATGGGTGTGTGAGTTCTGGATGATGTGTGTGTGTGAGTGCTGGATGATGGGTGTGTCAGTGCTGGATGATGTGTGTGTGAGTGCTGGATGATGGGTGTGTGAGTGTATGTGTGCTGGATGATGGGGAGGGGAAGCATTTTTTTTTTACTTTATGTGTCTATATTTTTTTATTTTATTCCCCCCTCCCTGCTTCTTACCTTGTCAGGGAGGGGGGAGATCGCCTGGTGGTCCGGTGGAGGGAGCCAGCCGCTGCACAGAGGGGCCATCACACGCTGTGTTCCCTCTCCAGCTCTAACTCTCGCGAGACTCGCCTGTGCGGAGCGTTGCCATGGTAACAGCCGCGGGTCTCGCGAGAGTTATTGCTGGAGAGGGAACACAGCGTGTGATGGCCCCTCAGTGCAGGTAGCAGGGCCGGTCCTGCAGGACAGGTAACGGGAACGGCGTTCCTGCTTTGGAAAAAGTGCAGGAACGCCGTTCCCATGCGTTCCTGCAGGACTCGAGCCCTGTATTGAAGCCTTTGAAACTTTCAAACAGCGGTTTGCCTCCACCAACATATTGATACATCCTGACACCAGTAAGCCTTTCATACTGGAGGTTGATGCTTCAGAAACAGAGGTAGGGGCAGTTCTCTCCCAAGAGGAGAACCAGCAAACTCAGTTACATCCTTGTGGTTACTTTTCTAGAAAGTTGTCTCCTGCTGAGCGCAATAACGATATTGGCAATAGAGAATTGTTGACCATTATTCTAGCTCTCAAGGAGTGGCAACATCTTTTAAGGGTTCCAAGGACCCCCTTTTGATCATTACTGATCACAAAAACCTGGCTTACATAGGAGATGCCAAACGATTATCTTCTAGACAAGCTAGGTGGTCTCTATTTCTTTCTCGCTTTAATTTTCTTATCACTTATAGACCGAGTTCTAAAAATGTCAAGGCCAACACCTTGTCCAGACAGTTTGATACTGAGGCTATACTAGATCAAGAAATGTCCCATATCATTCCCCCAAAATGTATTATTGCATCCACTGTCCTTTCATTGTCCTCTCCACTGCTTGGCTCCATCGTGGAGGCTCAGTCTCAGGCGCCCTGCGGTAAACCTGAGGACAAACTGTACGTTCCATTGGGGGAAATGGTTAATATCATAAAGGTGTTTCACAACAATGTGTCTGCTGGTCACTCAGGTATTAATAAATCCACTTCTGCTATCATGAGGTCTTTCTGGTGGAATTCCCTCAGGAAGGATGTTAAGGAGTATGTGTAGGCTTGTTCTGTTTGTGCGTTTTCCAAAGTACCTCATAAACTCCCTTGTGGCTTGTTGCAACCTCTTCCTATTCCTGAGGTCCCATGGTCCCACTTGTCCATAGACTTCATTGTTGAACTTCCTAGTTCTAATGGTTGTACCTCTATTCTCATGGTTGTGGACAGTTTTTTTAAAAATGGCTCATTTTATTCCACTCAAGAAATTGCCGTCATCTCAAGACCTGGTACTAATCTTTATACGAGAATTTGTCTGTCTGCATGGCATTCCTCACAATATAGTATCTAATAGAGGTTCTCAGTTTGTGTCCCTGTTTTGGAGGTCCTTCAATAAACAATTAGGGATTGAATGTGCTCAGATCACCTACAGCTGGAAGGAAAAGGCCTTATGCATGTCTGAGTTTCTGCAAGTCTGAGTTTTAAAAGACCACTTCTAGCAAACCTGAACAGTGCTCAGATCACCTACAGCTGGAAGGAAAATGTCTTATGCATGTCTGAGTTTCTGCAAGGTAGACTATGGAGGAAACTATCTACCCTTAATACTGGACACTATAATTGTATTGAATTTTAACCACTTGCATATTTTTAAACTATGTATCTCTAACCACCATTTCTTTGTCATTGTATCTTAACTGGATGTGCTTGTTCTTTAGTGTTTGTGTATGTGTGTGTGTATATATATATATATATATATATATGTATGTATGTGTGTGTTTGCTCATACATACATATATTCTGCAGTTTGTCTTGTCCTGCATGCTAAAGCTAGTTGCTCCCTGCCCTGCTCATCACTGGTTTGTTAACTTAAATGTTATTCAACATCCTGCTTATCTCTAAAGACTTTCTCTGTTATTTCTTCTCTCCCCCCCTCCCCCTTATTTTATTGATACCCACCCGAATGTCTTGCTTGACCAATCCTCACCTCCTCTGTGCATCTCCATTCCATAGCTTTTATTGCAGTCCTGTTTTGACCCTATCATCTCTGTCTTCCACAGTCTGAGTTTTAAAAGACCACTTCTAGCAAACCTGAACAGTGCTCAGATTCCTGCCCACCCCACCCCAAGTTCCTTACTACATTTATAGATAGAATCCCACACACAACTTTAGATAATTCCAAATAGCAGCTGCAAACACTACCCGTAATGAGCACAATCCACCTTCTTAACCCCTAACACTCAGTCCTTCTCCTTACTTCTGCTCATTCTCATTTCCTCTACTTACCTACTCATCAGAGCAATGCTCTATATTCTCCTCCTCTCCTTCTCTCTCATCTCCCTCAGGATCAAAATATCCCCTTCCACCCACTTCCCTCAACAACACACTCACATTTACATTAATCCCTCTCTGCTACACTCCCCCCTTCTCTCATCTCAAGCCCTGCACTCATTTATCTATTCTCTCTCTCCTGCTCTAACCCAATCTCACCCTAGTCGCCGCCCATATAAGACCCATTCACACCTCCTGTCTCTATCTCTCCTCCTACTTCTGGCAGCTGGTGATTCTCTCCCAACCCAGGGCCCCTCACCTCATCTGCTCACACTAAAATAACCAGAAACCATGCAAACCTCCTCCAAATACCCTGCAGTTTATCCTCCTCTACCAAAATTCAGTGTGCACTCTGGAATGCTCGCTCCATTTGTAGTAATATCAAATCTACAGCTATACATGACCTCATCATCTCTAACTCACTCACAATACTGGCACTCACTGAGACCTGGCTGTCCCCATCCGATACCGCTACTCCTGCTTCTTTATGTTTCGGTGGTCTACAGTTCTCCCATACTCCTAGACTCGACTGTAAAGGAGGTGGTGTAGGCATCCTTCTTTCCCCTCAATGTACCTTTCAACCTATCTTCCCTGCCCCTGCCCTATCCTTTTACTTCCTTTGAAGTTCACACTGTATGCCTTTTTAAGCCCACTCCTTTAAGAATTCCCATCATCTATCGCCCCCCAGTCACCCTAAACTATTTATTGAACACTTTTCCTCCTGGGACTTCAATATCCCTATCAACAAGCTCAACTGCCCTGATGCCTCTCGTCTGCTCTCTGTAACCTCCTCCTTTGGACTCACACAGATTTCTTCCTCAGCAACTCACACTGCAGGAAACACTCTTGACCTCATCTTCACCAATCTCTGTACCACCTCTGATCTCGCCACTGTTCCATTTCCTTTGTCTGACCACCATCTGCTAACATTTAACATCTGCATACCCCATACCAAAATTTCCCCACCATCAACTCTCCAACCTCGCAGAAACCTCAACTCCCTCAATCTCCAGAACTTCTCCACCAAACTCCAAACACTCCTTTTACCCATCTCAAATCACAACTGCCCTAACTCTGCAACCTCACTCTACAACTCCACTCTCTCCTCTCAACTTGACATCATGGCACCTCCTACAGTTAAACGCAGCAAGCGCCCCCAACTACAACCCTGGCACACCAAGCTGACCCGTTACCTCCAAAAATGTTCCAGAACTGCTGAACGCTGCTGGAGAAAGTCTCACTTTGCATCTGACTTTGTCCACTATAAATTTATGCTGCGCTCCTACAGCATGGCTCTTTCCTCTGCAAAAGTAAACTACTTCAACACCATCATAACTACACTGTCCCACCAAACCAAACACCTGTTTTACACTTTTGATGCTCTTCTTCGCCCTGTGCCTCCCCCTCCTTCCACCACCTTGTCCGCCACAAACTTTGCATCTCATTTCACTGAAAAGATCTCTACAATCAGGAAAGAGATCTCTAATCTCTCTCCTACCAGTATCAATACATCACCCAACCCCACTCCCCCTGCCATGCTATGCTCATTTGCACCTGCTACAGCATAAGAGGTTTCTGCTCTGCTCCTGTCCTCCCACCCCACCACCTGCTCTCTCAATCCTATTCCCTCGCATCTCATCCGCACTCTGTCTCCCTCTCTTGCTCTTCCTCTCGCTAACATTTTCAATCTCTCTCTTTCCTCTGGCACATTTCCCTCTGCCTTCAAACATGCAACCGTAACCCTAATTCTGAAAAAGCCCAACCTTGATCCCAACTCCCCATCCAACTACCGCCCTATCTCGCTACTGCCATTTGCCTCCAAGATCCTCGAGAGAGTTGTCGACGCCAGATTGACAGACTTTCTCGAATCCAACTCTCTGCTTGACCCCCTTCAGTCTGGATTCCGCGCTGGTCACTTTGTCGAAACTACTGTGACCAAAGTATCCAACAATTTAATTGCTGCTAAATCTCGCTGCCAATACTCTATCCTAATCCTCCTTGATCTTTCTGCCGCCTTTGACACTGTTGAACATCAACAGCTTCTTCACATTCTCCGTAACTTTGGTGTACGGGATACTGCTCTCTCCTGGTGCTCCTCCTACCTCTCCCAGCGCTCTTTCAGTGTTTCTTTCTCTGGCTCTGCCTCTTCTCCCCAACCCCTCTCTGTCGGCGTCCTCCAAGGTTCTGTCCTCGGCCCCCTACTGTTCTCTATCTATACTGCCTCCCTTGGTAAACTCATCAGCTCCTTTGGCTTCCAGTACCATTTATATGCAGATGACACGCAAATCTACCTGTCCTCCCCTGATCTCTCTCCGCCCACCTTGACTCGTGTTTCTGACTGCCTCTCTGCTATTTCCAACTGGATGGCTGCTCACTTCCTTAAACTCAACCTGTCCAAAACAGAACTTCTATTTTTTCCTCCCTCAAGTGCTGCTACTCCTTTGTCTGTCTCCATCCAAGTCAACGGCACTACTATCACCTCTACCTCCCAGGCTCACTGCCTAGGGGTTCTTTTTGATTCTGATCTCTCTTTTACTCCCCATGTCCAATCGATAGCCAAATCCTGTCGCTTCCAACTCAAGAACATAGCGCGCATCCGCCCATATCTAACGCCGGACGAGGCTAAGGAACTGGTTCATGCTGTTGTTCTCTCTCGCCTTGACTATTGCAATCCCCTTCTCACTGGTCTTACATGTTCCCAGCTTGCACCGCTGCAATCTATAATGAATGCGGCTGTGAGGCTTATTTTCCTGTCCGGTCGCACCTCCCACGCCTCCACGCTCTGTCAGTCCCTGCATTGGCTTCCAGTTAGATATAGGGCCCAATTCAAAATTCTGGCGCTTGCTTACAAATCCCTACATAATGCTGCTCCAACATACCTATCCTCCCTCATACACAAGTATGTCCCGTCGAGACCCCTGCGCTCAGCCCAAGACCTACGCCTATCCTCTGCCCGGATCCCCACCTCTGATGCTCGCCTTCAAGACTTCTCCAGGGCTGCACCTATTCTGTGGAACTCCTTTCCCTCCTAAATCAGACTTTCACCCAGCCTCCACTCCTTCAAAAAATCTTTGAAAACTCACTTCTTCATTAAAGCGTATCAATTAAACTGTCAGCAGATTTTTCATCCCCCACCCCATGACTCTGTTCCTTCAACTGTCAAAAATAACCTATCAAGCACTCAATAAACCCTTCTCTAACAAACTATTAAATTCCCCTACTTTAACCCTTTGTGTCACTATATCCCACTCCCTGTAGCATGTAAGCTCATCGAGCAGGGTCCTCAACCCCCTCTGTTCCTGTACGTCAGTGGTCTGGTCTCAATTATGTGTCTGTTAGTCCACCCATTGTACAGCGCTACGGAATTTGTTGGCGCTATATAAATAATAAAATAATAATAATAAGTCTTTTTCATCCTCTTACCACCCTCAGACCAATGGTACAGCTAAGAGGGCTAACCAGTCCTTGGAATTATATTTGCGTTGTTTCGTTAATAGCACTCAAGACAATTGGTCTGAATTACTACCATGGGCCGAGTTTGCTAGGAACAATGCTGACCATGACTCCTCTGGGCATAGTCCATTTTTTGTTAATAATGGCCGGCATCCTACTGTCCTACCGGCTGTTTTTTCTGATACGGCTATTCCTGCTTTGGACGACCGTCTGGCTTCTATCCATGATACCTGGGTTAAAGTTCAATCTGCTTTGGGTACTGCTGCTGACCGTTTCAAGCATTATGCTGATACACGTTGAGGTGCCGACCCTGTTTACCAAGTGGGTGAGAGGGTTTGGTTATCTTCTCGAAACATTAGGCTCAAAGTCCCTAGCATGAAATTTGCTCCTGGGTTCCTTGGACCTTTTCGTGTCCTTCGTAGGCTCAATCCTGTTGCATACTCTCTGGCCCTTCCGTCCTCCTTGAAAATTCCTAATACCTTTCATGTGTCCATGCTCAAACCTCTTATTTGTAATAAATATACTGTCTCAAGTGTCCCTCCTCCTCCTTTGGTTGTTTCTGGACAGGAAGAGTATGAGGTCTCCTCCATAATTGATTCCAGGTTTTCTCAGGGCACTTTGCAGTACTTGGTGGATTGGAAGGGTTTTGGGCCTGCAGACTGTTCCTGGGTTCCAGCATCTGATATACATGCTGGCCGCAAGATTTGCTATTTTCACACCAAGTTTCCTCTCAAACCTGGTCCTGCCCGCCCGGTGGGCGTTCTTCAGGTGGGGGGTAATGTCACGTATTCATCTGCACATAAAAATGTGGTTAATGTCATTTACTGTTCTGGCAGGAAATGTTGTGCCAAGCAACATTACTGTCCTGACAGGAAAAGTTGTACCGAGCAGCAATCAATCCACAGGAGGGTTTGTGCTGAGCAGCAATCATGCAAATGGTTTAAAAAAAAATAAGAAGTGATCCTAAGGCACGCCACGGTTATGTGCAAAACCGTGGTATGCCTTGGGATCATTTCTTATTTTTTTATTACATGTATATATCTGGTATGGGAACAGATTCTCTTATTTTAACCCCTTAAGGACAGAGCCAAATGTACACGTTGCTAACAAAACAAAATGTAAACAAAACCTGGCATTTGCGCTACATGTCTGTCTAACCGTAATACACCTCTTTCATAGTAAATGCACCCACCCTTATTATATATCATTTTATTCAGGGGAAACAGGGCTTTCATTTAATATCAAATATTTAGCTATGAAACATAATTTAATATGAAAAAAATGGGAGAAAATACGATTTTTTTGATTTTTTTAGTTCTACATGACATTTTAACGGTCAGTGTCATAATACTGTTTGCTTTTACTGCAATAAAATACACATATTTGTATTCAGTAAAGTCTCACGTGTAAGACAGTACCCCCTATGTACAGGTTTTATGGCGTTTTGGGAAGTTACAGGGTCAAATATAGCACGTTACATTTGAAATTTAAATTTGCCAGATTGGTTACGTTGCCTTTGAGACTGTATAGTAGCCCGGGAATGAAATTTACACCCATAATGGCATACCATTTGCAATAGTAGACAACCCAAGGTATTGCAAATGGGGTATGTCCAGTCTTTTTTAGTAGCCATTTGGTCACAAACACTGGCCAAAGTTAGCGTTAGTATTTGTTTGTGTGTGAAAAATGCAAAAAACGCCAATTTTGGCCAGTGTTTGTGACTAAGTGGCTACTAAAAAAGACTGGACATACCCTGTTTGCAATACCTTGGGTTGTCTACTATTGCAAATGGTATGCCATCATAGGGGTCATTTTCATTCTTGGGCTACCATAGGGTCTCAAAGACAATGTAACCAATCTGGCGAATTTTAATGTGAAAAAAATGAAACGCAAGCCTTATATTTGACGCTGTAAGTTTTGAAAACACCATAAAACCTGTACATGAGGGGTACTGTTGTACTCGGGAGACTTCGCTGAACACAAATATTTGTGTTTCAAAACAGTAAAAAGTATCACAGCAATAATATTGTCCGTGTAATGCTGTTTGTGCGTGAAAAATGCAAAAAACTTCACTTTTACTGGCGATATCATCGTTGTAATACATTTTACTGTTTTGAAACACTAATATTTGTGTTCAGCGAAGTCTCCGAGTAGAACAGTACCCCCCATGTACAGGTTTTATGGTGTCTTGGAAAGTTATAGGGTTAAATATAGTGCTAGCAAATTAAATTCCCTTTACTTTCGGCATGGGTTGTCAGGCAGGTCCTGCTAATTGTAATTAATTAAGATACCTAATTATGTAAAAATAATACATAAATATATATGTAGAATTAATATATGTATATATATACGTATGTGTATATATATGTATATATCTATATAATTTTTAAAAAATATTTTTATTTATATATAGGTATATATATAGTGATATATACGTATATATTTATGTGTATAGATATATATATTATTTCGTTCTACGTGTATTTTGATATATATATATATATATTAATTTCACAATACAGTTAGAACGAAATAACACACATCTATATATTTTTTAATTATTTATTTTTAATTATTTTTTTAATTTTATTTTTTAACGTATTTACATTTTAATTTTTTTTATAATATATATAAATATATATATAACAATAATTATATATATATTTAATAAGTATCAGTCTACGTGTAATTTGATATTAATATATATATATAATTATATATATATTAATAGTAAAATACATCTAGACGGTGTACATGTGTGTATGTATATGTGTATATATATACTTAGATCATATATATATATGTGTGTATATATATGATCTAAGTATATATAATTAATTTTTTTACACTGATTAACTTATTTTACTTTTATTTTCAGCCAGCAGGGGGACCACCTGTAATTACAGGCAGCCCCCCTGCTGGCAATACAGAAGCCAGCTATCCCCGGCCATGTGATTGTGGGGTCCTCACTAGGACCCCACTCTCACACGGCCGGGGGGCTTCCTGGAGGACGGACGTGCCGCGGGGGGCTCCCTGGGAGTCCCCCCCACCGCGATCGCCGCCGTGGGACCGCCGGCGACCGGGTAAGTACCGAAAGACCGGAGGGCATACTATTACGCCCGGTGGCGTTTAGAGCCGCCTATTAGAGGGCGTAATAGTACGCCCTCCGATCTGAAGGGGTTAAGAGCACCCTGTACCTTATAAACCACACACTTATTACCCATTTTTCAGTAGAGCTTTTCCTGTAATTTTATGTTTGTATCATGCAAATGGGAACCTGGTAATTGCCTTTGGAGTCAAAGGCCTGTTACAGCCAATCAGATCCACAGGCGGGGTATTTAGGCCAAGTTCTCCTCTTGCTCAGTGCCCTGTCGTGGTTTCCATTGTGGTTGTCCGAGAGCGCGTTATTGATTCTGGTTATTCTGGTATTTTGACTTTGGCATTGATTTCGACTTCCCTGTTTTCTGGCATCCCTGACCTCTGGCTTTCCTATATCGTTGTGTTCCTTTCTGTGTCCCCTGACCTCGGCTATTCCTGATTATTCTTTGGTACGTTAGTCCAGTATACGTTACCTATCAGTCCTCTGTGTTACACAGTTCTATGTGCTGGATCATACTGTAATCCTGACACTATCACATGACCGCCATATTGGGTCACATGATCGTAATGAACTGTAAAACTATTTAAAAAAAATACTATTATACATAGTTGAACATACATAAATGAAATCAATAAATGTACAGCAATTGTATAATTAATTTTCTATAAATAAAGAAGATAACTTGCAAAATTGCATGGTTCTGTGATTGGGAAAAATCGATTACTCTTTCTCCTACCATTGCAGATGTAGCGTATTTACCTCTGAACCAGGAGGAACTTGAACCAAGAGGAGAGTCTGGAGAGGACGGGAAGCAGCTAACTCTCTTCTCCAGTTTGTGTACACTCCACTCCTGCATCTTATCCACCTTGTCTAATTCCAGTTCTATTTGTCCAATGGAGACAGTTGTAACAGCATCTGCTACCAGGGCCACAAGTAGCTCACCCACTGCCATTGTTACCATCACCAGCACCAGCACTTCCACCACTACCCCATTATCACCATTTCCATTCACATTACTCTACAAAGTGCTGGTGTAGATGCAGGAGTTGAGACCGTGTCCACTGCCATAAATGATAATTGTGACAGAACACTCTGTCACTGACAATACTATGTTCATACGTCATTATTACAAGTGTTCTGCTGGGTGGCCGCCATTCGCATGGATTAACACATAGAAAATTGTAGTAAAATTGTAATGGCAGTGGTGTTCGGTTGTCGAGTGGAACAGAAACTAACAGACTAACTGTCTGATTTGGACAGACTAACCCGTGAACACCGCTGAACTTCCATCTTCACCTGCTTTGTTTGCTCACATCTTAGGAGAGCGATGTTCGCCTAGTTCGTTCGAACAATCCTACCGAACAATCGCTACCGAGGAGCCAGAGAATCTTTTCAGTGTTTCATTTGTTTTTGGACTCCCGAAAGAGACCGACCGCCACCACTTTTCTCCTGGAACTATTGGGCAGGCACCACATGTGCAGTTGGTCAAAACTTTACCCCGGTGGCGATTCGGCTGTGTTCGTGGGATCTGAGTGCTATTTGGACATTTTGGGCACTCAGATCCAGGCTTTCCGGGGTTATAGGACTTGTTGGGGACTCTTGTAATATTATATCTGTTTTGGGGTGTTTTGGGTTTTGAACATTGTACCTCTGTTCCTGGGGGATAATTAGTTTAAGCAAAGTAAACAGTATTATCTTCAAGACACAGGGATGCCGAGGAGGAGTTTGTATGGAACTGTATACTAGTTCACTCCCAGAATTAAGTCTTGGCTAATGTCTGTTGAGAAGAGCTATAATCACTCCAGAGCTTTAATCACTTGGCAGCTATATCACTGAATCTGGCGCAGCAGAGTTCCAGAGAGGGAAAAAGACATTCATGGCGGCAAGGCCAGTGTCCCTATCTGGGTCGCCGACACAATAATGACCAGCATTTTCTGCAGCAGCAATGCAAAGAGTCATGGCTATTGTATTGCGCTGAGGAAAGGTTTGGTACACTTTGAGTGCCTCCAAGAAGAGTGATTTGCAAAGTGCAAATTGTGAGGCAAGGAAGTGAGTAGAGGGAGGCATAGTCATCTCACTAGTGCTGAATGAACCTACTTATGAAACTGCACCACAAGTCAGTATCAGTGAGAGAAGAAGCAGAAAGAAAAAGTACTAGGGTTGCTATGCAGGCTGTATCTGATTCTACACAGTTCTCACCACCTACTACTAGCTGTACCTTAGGCAGAGCAGATGGATGGTGAGGATTGTGCAAGTTAGCAGGGCCTGCCCAAGACACTGTGCTGCCCTTGACCAAAAGATTAAATGCTGCTCCCCCCTCCTCACCAAAACCATATCTACCAATACATGTCCACATCCATTATGCTATATCATAATAATTAAAACAAAAATGAAAACGTAATAAAAAAACATGGGTTGTATTGTATGTGTATAAGTCTCTGTATTCGTCATGCAGAGGCTTGCAGTGTTGCGGCTTCCTTTTTCACGGTGTTGTGAGCTCTCTGACTGTAGTTATGGCATAATTTGCAAACTAAATTACTTTGCCATAAACAAATTTAAAGTGACACTATAGTCACCACCCACACACTGTTTTACCCCCTGATCCACTTTCACCCCCAGCCACTGTAACCCCTCTGACCCACTATCACCCCATCTGATCCACTGTCACCCTCTCTGATACACTTTAACCCCCCCTACATACTGTCTTCCCCTCTGATTCATTGTTACCCCTCTCACTTACTGTCACAATGTCACCCCTTTCACCCAGCCACACTCACCTGCCCTCAGTCTTCACCTTCCTAATCCTGTCACTCTTCCTCCCTCCAACCATACCAAGCTCACCTGCCCTCGTTCTGCCACCCTCACCCTATCACATTAACCCCTCCTAATTCTGTCACACTCACCTTTTCTTGAACAATCACACTCATCTTCTATCACTCTTTCACACTTACCCTCTTCACCCTGCCACACACACACTGTCACTCAACACACCTAATCCTGCTAATCCTATCACACTCACTTCCCCATGCCCTATCACACTCCCTCCTCCAACCATGCCACATTCACTCTGTCATATTAACGCCTCTGATGCTGTCACACTCTGCCGCATCCTGAAACACTAATCCTCCTTAATCCTGTCACACTCACCTCCCTTCATCTTGTATTTCAACCATGCCGCACTCACCGCAACAATGTGATACTCACACTTCAGCAATGCCACACTCACTCTGTCACATTAACATGCCTAATCCTGTCAAACTTACCTCCCCTCACCCTGTCACACTCCCTCCTCACCATGTCACACTAACCCCCTACCCTGTCTCATTAACCCCCTGGTCCTGCCATACTCACCCTGCCCTAATTACCTAGGTACTCACCCTGGAGATGCTTGCCATAAACACAATGCACAAAAGCCACAGGCATCCCTTCCTACACACAACTACCAGAAAGTTGGAGTGCACTAGCAACTATACAGTATATAGTGCACACTATCTGTATATACAGGGTATGCAAAATTAAAAGTATATCTGGGGATCAACTCACATGGACCAGAGCCCTATCACCCCTGGCTCTGGGTTTGAATTGCTCCAATGGAGAGGGATAAACCCACAGTATAGCACAGTATAGCAAAACAGGATACTCTTCTGAATCAGAATCAGAAGAAGCCCAGGAGGTGGGCGAAACGCGTCACGTGTGACATCAGATAGAGGCACCAGGAAGTGTCACGTGTGACATCAGAGAGAGGCACCAGGAAGTGTCTAAGCTGTATCATTTTCTGTAAATTCCTGCTTATCTAGTTGTGGGTTTATTGCTGGCAAACCCACTACTTCAAGTAAGAGTTTTTAACATTTTGTTTAAATAAACACTGTGTTTGATACTATTCAATTTGGGCTCCTGCCTCTCTATTTGTTTATACTGCCTAGATATTACATCTGATTCAGAAAAGTATCCTGTTTTGCTATACTGTGGGTTTATCCCTCTCCATTGGAGCAATTCAAACCCAGAGCCAGGGGTGATAGGGCTCTGGTCCATGTGAGTTGATCCCCAGATATACTTTTAATTTTGCATACCCTGTATATACAGATAGTCTGCACTATATACTGTATATTTTTTCAGAGTACTCAGAGAAGATCCTGACTCGAGTGCAGTTGCTAGCGCACTCCAACTTTCTGGTACTTATGTATATACAACTGCCAAGCTATGCAACCATAGCCTACAATTGTGTATAAATGATTAGCATAATTGCAAATTAAAGGGACACTATAGTCACCAAAAAAGCTTTAGCTTAATTAAGCAGTATTGGTGTATAGATCATGCCCCTACAGTCTCACTGCTCAATTTAGGAGTAAAATCACTTTGTTTATACATGTCCTGTTCCTGTTGCAGATCATTTCTGGCCTTGGTTTCTGATATCCAGTACTCTTTTTAGAATTCTTGTTTAGTTTTTCTTGGTTTTTCTAGTTTTCAATTCTATGTCTGGTTTTCTTTATGCTGGGCTTTCTGGGTTTATTCTTTTATTCCGTTCCTGGATTTCCCAGTCTCCTGGATTCCTTTAAAATGTTTGTTTTTTGTTGACACACCTGTTCCTTTGCCATTTATCCTTTTTGTTTCAGTCTGTTTCTGCTAGCAGTGGTCTCGTTCCCTCTGCTCCTTTCCTTGCAAGTTAGTACTGTGTGTGTTTTATTGTTGTACTTTTAGTCATGCATATCTAGGCAGTTATGACCCACCGTAATTGGCGTACTTTGGCGCAGTGGTTGGCTGCATACATCTTGGCCATTTATGCATGTCTAAATCTCCTATGTTTATTACATATATAGTACTTGGTTATTTCTCCTCTTGTTTTTCCTTGTGTCTTGTTTTATTTTTTCTTGTATTCCCAGTTCATGTCCATGTCCTGTTCTTGTTTCCCTCATATCTTGTGTACATGTCCTGGGTAGTTCTAGTCTTGTCTTGTTTGGTGCCTATTCTAGTCTTGCCTTGCCTTGTTTCTAGTACTAGATACATTTCTGCATAACATCTAGCACCTGGGATCTGCAGTAGCTGCATCAGGGCCCTGGTAGGTGGCCGCACACACCTTGGTGCTCAACACCAGGGGGTGTGTGGTTACCCTGAACCAGACCCTGATAGTTCATTTCCATGCTGTGACTTCTACCATCATCAGGCATACAGGATACAGGTCTCCGGACCGCCACCCGTGACAATACAGCCTAAGGCACACCTCACTGCCCGTGACTTACACAGCCTTCCTAAATACATCCTGTAAAAAGTCATCTAATGTTTACCTTTATTGCAGATTCTGATTAATTTAGAATTTCTTATCTCCTGCTCTGTAAAAAAGCTTGATGTGCCCTGCAGGAGCCTCCTGTATGCAATTAAAGTTTAATTTACAGCGTGAAGTTGTAGGCAGCCTTCTAAATTGCCTAATTAGAGGTCGTGTGTATGGGGAGGGGAGGGCTCATAGTGTGTGGGGATGTCAGTATGTGGGGTGGTGACAGAGTGTGTGTTGGTGAATGACAGTGTGTGGGGGGTGATAGTGTGTGCGGGGGTGACAGTTTGTGGTAAGGCTATTTTTAGTGACCAGCCTCCCCACACCAAATTACCCCATGGTGGTCTGGTGGGATAGATATCTGGTGTGAAGCTCTGCCTGGTGCAGAGCTGCAGACCATGTGGTAGAGGTCTTGTGAGCTCCAGCATTTGAAGTGTCAGAGATTGCAGAGGTAACCCTTGGTAACGCTCTGATTGGCTGAGTTTACAAGATCTCTACCACATGGTTTGCAGGTTTGCACCCAGAGGAGCTGCAGACCAGAGGCTGTTCTGGGCTCTCTATACCTGGGCAGGCTGAGTGGAGGGGAATGCACTTGGCAGCATACAATGCAAGTCGCTGGGACCCATCCTGTGTTGGGCCATCGATCATGGCCCAGGAACCCGACGAATCAGTCTGCTTGAAGGAAAGTTAGGCTGCCGTGAGGCTCTATTTAGACTTACCTCTAGGGAGGCCCTAGTTAGATGTACAGGAGTGGCAAAATGCTGTTCCTATCAAAGTGTTTCCTGGGGCCAAAGCCCTATTGGGACCCTTGCAAGGGTACAGTCGGACTCGTTATCATTCATTAAATTGAAAAAAGGAAAAAAAGACAAAAATAAAAAAATCTCTTGTCTAGATAGCTATAATGATAATGCTAATACACCAACTTTAATTCACTGATTTAGAATTGTTTTATTATTATTTTTTGTGAGAATGATTATTTAATTTGCAGTGTGCTTCACTGCCATTATTTGTGCTTGGCAAATTGCATGCATCTCCCTCCGTAATATGCAAAGTCTGGCAGTTTACTACACAAGTTAATTTTTTTTAGCTCTTTGTAGAAAACAAGTATTCTAGAATGTGATGTGTTAGTGATTGATAATGTTTTCAAATGCCTTTCACTGTTGTGGGTTTGCCTTTATTGGCTTAATTTTTGCAATGTGGCTATCTCTGCATATGCAGTTGGTATAAGCTGATAGGGCAATGTTTTTTCACACTGAAGGACAGCCACTCAAGCTACAGGCTGGATAGGCAGGAAAACTTTGTTCTTGTCAGGATGGAAGTGATGAGTGGATGGTCATTTGCCCACTCACATTTACATTTTATTTTATTTTTAATCTGCTTTTTAAAAAACTAAATTCCATATTTACTAAACTAAATTCCAATGGAAAAACCTCTTACCTGAAAAAAAATTAAAACTCACGTATAGTTACAAGTTGCTTTCCCCCTCCCCCCCTCAGTTTTGCCATTCAAATTGAATTAATAATTTAATGCTAAGTATAGAAATAAGCATTACTGCATAGATCTAATTACTACTACATAATAACTATGCTAAATCTAAACTATATAACCTTTTAAAAATATCTTACAATAAGAAAAACTATTTTGAAGGTTTCTTTCATTCCTTTCAATTAAACATAAGTAAGCATATAGTCTTACATTGCTGGAAATACTGTTCTCCGTATGACTCTCTTATCTCTGCACTGGTATTCTCCCATAAATGATGCAGGGCCTTTAAATGTGGCTCAATTGCAACAATTCTAGTTTTGAAAGCACCAGGTTCTATGATGGAAACTTTGACCCCAAAATCACGCATTTCCCTTCTGTAATGAGAAGATAGATAAATGAACGCAAAAAAAAAATTTGAACTCTAGGCAAATAATATTATATTTATTAGGATGATTATTATTAGCATTTATATAAGACCAACATATTCTGCATCACTTTATAATTATAGACTGGGGATATTTGACAACAACTAATTAGCATACAGAATACTGGCCTTGATTTTATCTTTTTGGATAAAATGTTAAAATTATTTAATAACTTTTAAAATGTTATTTTAATATTTTGAAAATTACTTTAATATTTGGATATATTTGATATATTTTTAAATATTTTAATAATTTGAAAAAAATATATATTTTTAAAGCTTATTGAAAAATATTAAATAATTTTAAAAAGCTTATCCAAAAACATTAAATCGAGGATGTTAATAGAGACAAGAGGTGAAGAAGGCCCTGCTCAAACAAGCTCACAATCCCGTTAAGACGTTCTAAAATACTATTGTTTTTTATACCTTATTGCCATGAACAAAAGCACTAAATCCCAATGTTAGAAATCTACTGACTGTATTGTATTTACAGGTCCAAGTAAATATCAGTTTCTAGATCGCTTACCGTATGCTATCGGAGAATGCTTGTACAGCTAATTTTGAGATGCAGTATGCTCCACCAGCTACCACTATTCTTCCAATAGCGCTAGAAACATTAACAATGCGTCCTCTAGCTTTTCTGATCATTGGAAGGAAATTCAGTGTTACATCGATTAAACCCATCAAGTTTATATCCAGCATTTTAGCAAAGTCTTCCTTTTTTTGCCATTCATTGGGAGACATTGGAATTGCGGACCCTGCATTATTCACTAGACCCCATAGTCCTGCAAAATATAAAATAATAAAACTGTAAAAAGTATAATAAATGCTTGTTGGAGTAGTATTACTGTGATAGGGACCAGAAGAACCAGTCAATCAATTATCTGCCTAGACCTCCCAGTATGCAGCCGGCAAAGGGTGGTCTATGCTGAGGATTGATTGACAAGTTGAGGAAAGATCAACGTTTTAAAGAATATTAAATTAAAAACACAACATTTGTTAGCATTCTTATAGCGTGTAGATGAAATAATTTGCCTACTTTGTACACTGTGTACCATGGCAATTACACTCTAAAATTCCACATCTTATTGTCCTTACTGATAAGAACCTTTACCTCTACTATAGGCAAAATCTTCTTTATTCAAGTCTACATGGGTGTCCTCTTGTTCTTTGTACATTTAACTCATCCTGTTGCAAATACTTGCCTGTTAGTCCACAAATTGTACAGCGCTGAGTATTGTGTTTGTGCTTAATAAATAAGAATAATAATGAATAGGTTACCAGAGAGTTCACTATACTGCTTGAGTTTTTTAATGATCTGCTAGATCGTTAATAAACACATTGAAGTTGGATTAGAACAGTCTACAGAGGGACTCCAGTTACAAGAACTCTGTTAGCACACCTTAAGTTAAGCCCTGCAATGCAACTATGAAAAACAGAACATATTAAATGCATTGTTTCTAAAATGGGTTGAATACAATCAAGCATAACACTAAATTATTTTTTCTTTATGGTATGTTGTTATACTATGGACTTGTAGAGCACTTCCTGTTAATGGAGGAAAGGATCTCTCCAGTCATATATAAAACTATCTAATAACATTTAATTATTATAAGATCAATAATTAGCATTGTTCTAAACTACACTGTCACAATATAACCTTCAATATACAAGAGTATATATTTATCTTAAATAAAGTTTGAAAAACGTACTGAATTTCCCCACAAAAAGTTTTCTACTGGAGTACTGTAAGTTAATAATTTAAAGGGTTTCTCTTTTGTGCAAAAATAGTCATTGAGTTTTAAAGGCATATTTAGGGAATGTACACTGTTGCTATGGTCAAATACGGCTCATGGGCTTCCAGTAGTGCATTATTATTACTCTGTATAATATTTAACACACGGAGCATGCTCTTAAAAAAAAGCTGTCTTGTGCAAATAAAAATATATCTATTATTGACAGGACATTATTATTTATTATTATTATTATTGCCACTTATATAGCGCCAACAGATTCCATAGCGCTTTACAATATTATGATGGGGGATTTAACTATAAATAGGACAATTACAAATAAACTTACAGGAACAATAGGTTGAAGAGGACCCTGCTCAATCGAGCTTACATTCTATAGGAGGTGGGGTGTAGAACACATTAGGACAGGAATTTGCAATCAAATAAGGTGGGCTGCCCTTTAGGAGAGGGCAAGAGACAGGTAAAATGTCAGTTGCCACAATTCTGACCATTTTTCTAGTTTACCTAAATCATTTGTCATTTGGCTTATCCCTCCTGGAACATCAACCCTGTTACATATCTTAGTATCATCAGCAAAAAGACATACCTTACCATCAAGACCTTCTGCAATATCACTAATAAAAATATTAAAGAGAATGGGTCCAAGTACAGATCCCTGAGGTACCCCACTGGTGACAAGTCCAAGCTTCGAATATATTCCATTAACTACAACCCTCTGTTGCCTGTCACTCAGCCACTGCCTTACCCATTCAACAATATTTGAATCCAAACTTAAAGATTGCAGTTTATTGATAAGCCTTCTATGTGCAACAGTGTCAAAAGCCTTACTGAAATCTAGGTAAGCAATGTCTACTGCACCACCCTGATCTATAATTTTAGTTACCCAATCAAAAAAATCAATAAGATTAGTTTGGCATGATCTCCCTGAAGTAAACCCATGTTGTCTCTGATCTTGAAATCCATGTGTTTTTAGATGTTCATCAATCCTATCCTTTAACATGGTTTCCATCACTTTCCCCACTACTGAAGTAAGGCTTACTGGCCTATAGTTGCCCGACTCCTCCCTATTACCTTTCTTGTGAATGGGCACAATATTCGCTAACTTCCAATCTTCTGGGACTACTCCTGTTAACAATGATTGGTTAAATAAATCTGTTAATGGTTTTGCTAGTACACCACTAAGCTCTTTTAATAGCTTTGGGTGTATTCCATCAGGTCCCATTGACTTATTTGTCTTTACTTTTGACAGTTGAAATAGAACCTCTTCCTCTGTAAACTCACGTGTAATAAATGACTCATTTATCCTTTTTCTCAACTGAGGTCCCTTTCCTTCATTTTCATCTGTAAATACAGAACAAAAATATTCATTGAGGCAGTCAGCCTGACCTTTATCCTCTTCTACATATCTTCCTTCTTTTGTTTTTAATCTAACTAATCCTTGTTTTACTTTTCTTTTCTCATTTATGTATCTAAAAAATGTTTTATCCCCCTTTTTTACTGACTGTGCTATTTTCTCTTCTGTGTGTGATTTGGAAGCTCTTATAACTTGCTTAGCCTCTTTCTGCCTAATCTTATAGATCATTTTGTCTTCCTCACTCTGGGTTTTTTTATAATTCCTAAATGCTAACTTTTTGTTTTTAACTATTTTGGCCACATCTGCGGAGTACCACAGTGGTTTCTTGAATTTTTTGCTTTTACTGACAAGCCTAATGCAATTTTCTGTTGCCTTCAATAGTGCAACTTTTAAATAATCCCATTTTTCTTGGACTCCATTTAAATTGCTCCAGTCTGATAATGACTCCTCTACCCATATTCTAATTTTAGAAAAGTCTGTTTTTCTAAAGTCTAAAACTTTTGTTTTTGTGTTGTGTGACTCAGTCACTGTTCTTATATTAAACCACACTGACTGATGATCACTGGATCCTAAACTTTCACCTACAGTAACATCTGATACCAAATCTCCATTTGTTAACACTAAATCTAGTATGGCCTCTTTACGAGTTGGCTCCTCAACAACTTGTTTTAGAGACAATCCCAGTAAGGAGTTTAGAATATGTGTGCTCCTGGCACAAGTAGCTAATTTTGTTTTCCAATTTACATCAGGAAGATTAAAGTCACCCATGATGATAACTTCCCCCTTCATTGTCATTTTAGTTATTTCCTCAACTAGTAGATTATCTAACTCTTCAATTTGTCCTGGGGGCCTATAAATCACACCTACACGAGTTACTGTGTGATTACCAAATTCTAACGTAGCCCAAACGGACTCTATGTTTGCCTCACTAACTTTTATTAGGCTAGATTTTATGCTATCCTTCACATACAAGGCCACCCCTCCCCCTTTCTTGCCTTCCCTATCTTTCCTATATAAAGAGTACCCTGGTATTGCTATGTCCCAGTCATTTTTCTCATTGTACCATGTCTCAGTAACAGCGACTAAATCTACACTTGCCATTATTGCCACAAGTTCATGGATCTTATTCCCTAAACTGCGAGCATTTGTAGACATGATTCACCTTTATCTCCTACAATACTAGCAGCCCACTTGGCAGCAGAGCTTACACTCTGACTATCAGTTACATCCAGGATTACAGTCTGCAGTCTGCTGGAAGCCTCCTCCTTTAGATCTTGGGCCCCTTTCTCTGTCAGACAAGCTGCCAACACTATCATCCCTCGTTGATCCAACTGCTTCGCCAGCAGGTTTCCAAATCCTGTATCACATCCAGTGATCAGCACATATTTATCGGTGAGGTTCTGTAGTATTTGGCTCTGTCTGTGCCATCTGAAGAGGAGGATCAGCAACGACACAACAACCAGCAGAGGGAGCCACATGTTAGAAACCTGTAACTAAAATACAAATATAGAACCATAGGTCATATTTACTAGTACAGCTAATTATATTCAGTTATTTGCTCTCTCTAATACAAGGGTGCCAAAAAGTTAGATCCAACAACTCCCATAATGTTTACATGCATTTAGAATGCCTTTAGAATGACAAAGCATCATGGAAGCTGTAGTTTTAAAACATCTGGGGATCTACCTTTTGGGCACCCCTGCTCTAATACCTTTTTTACCCATTTCATTTTGCAGACAAATCGACACAGCTTTGGTTGGATAAAATATTTATGCTCAGACATACTGTAATATTTGTAAACGTTAAGAAGTTATAGATAGTAAAATAGAGGTTTATCAGGTAAGGACACACCACAGACTATGTCTAGGGGTCAAACTTGTTCATAGAATAAGAAAAAAACAGATTGTTAACAGAATTGAAGTCTTTATTTCTGTATGTATGGAGGGTCAAACATGGAACCAGATGTAAAAATCAAAAGTAAATCACACACACACATTGTATATAATATATCTATATACTACCTACTGAAGATATCCACCGTACATATCACATCTGGAAAACAAAGCATACATAGTGCTCTCCATAAAATATAGAATCCAAGAAATAAAATATATAGATTGCACTCACAAAGGTGTAGCCGTATCAGGCTCTATGCATGTAGCCCTTGGGTGCATATACAGGCTTACGATTTGCCCCAGTCAGGAACACGAAGTCCACAAAAATGGGTATTAAAATATAAATTTATTTAAACAAATATTGTTAAAAATAATAAGGGACAAGGGTAAGGCAGGTATAATGCAAAGATATAGGTAAATACACCACAAATATGGCCAATAAAAGCATATGTAAAGATAAGCATAAAAATACCGCCACCCAGAGTCCAAAAAATAACTCAAGTCCACAGCAAACATGTTTCAGCCCTAGATAAGGCCTTCCTCATTGCTACCGACTGGTCTATTCTCTAAGTTTAACCCCTTCAGGACGAAGCCAATAGTACACGTTCTGATCAAAACAAAACGTAAACAAAAACTGGAAATTGCGCTATATGTCTGTTCAACCGTAATTCACCTCTTTCATATTATATGCACCCACTTCTTATATATCATTTTGTTCAGGAGAAACAGGGCTTTAATTTATCATTAACTATTCATATATGGAACATAATTTATTATGAGTAAAATTTTAAAAAATGTGAGAAAATAAGATTTTTTTTTTTTAAATTTGTATTTCCGTCTGACATTTTAGCTGTTAATGTCATAATACTGTTAGGTTTTACTGCAACAAAATGCACATATTTGTAATCAGCGATGTCTCACGAGTACAACAGTACCCCCATTAACAGGTTTTATGGTGTTTGGAAAGTTACAGGGTCAAATATAGAACGTTCCATTTTCAAATTGAAATTTGCCAGATTAGTAATGTTACCTTTGAGATAGTATGGTAGCCCAGGAATGAGAATTACCCCCATAATGGCATACCATTTGAAAAAGTAGACAAGCCAAGGTATTGAACGTGGGGTATGTTTAGTCTTTTTTAGTAGCTACTTAGTCACAAACACTGGCCAAAGTTAGCGTTCATATTTGTTTTTGTGTGAAAAAAGCAAAAAACTAATATTTGGCCAGTGTTTGTGACTAAGTGGCTTCTAAAAATGACTGGACATACCCCATTTGCAATACCTTGGGTTGTCTACTTTTGCAAATGGTATGCCATCATGGGGGTAATTCTTATTCCTGGGCTACCATACGCTCTCAAAGGCAACATAACCAATCTGGCAAATTTCAATGTCAAAAAAATGAAATGCAAGCCTTATATGTGACTCTCGAACTTTCTAAAACACAATAAAACCTGTACATGGGGGGTATTGTTATTCTCGGGAGACTTCACTAAACACAAATATTAGTGTTTTAAAACAGTAAAACATATTACAACAATAATATAGTCCATAAAAGTGCAGTTTGTTTGTAAAAAATGCAAAAAACTTCACTTTTACTTAAAATATCATCGTTGTAATACAATTTACCAGTTTGAAACACTAATAATTGAGTTCAGCGAAGTCTCCCGAGTAAAACAGTACCCCTATGTACAGGTTTTATGGTGTCTTGGAGAGTTACAGGGTCAAATATAGTGCTTGCGAATTAAATTCTCTGCACTTTCTCCCTGTGTTGTCAGGCATGTCAATCAAATTTTAATTAATCAAATCACATAATTATGTTAAAAGATTACTTAAATATACACGTAGAATTATAATATATATGCATATATAGGTATTTAAATTCTACGTGTATACTAATGTAATCTTTTATGTAATTATATGTATTTATTTATATATATATATATAAATATATATTTGCGGTTATTTGTATTTTATATATAGATAGATATATATAGAATGCCATTCTAAGTGTATTTTGTTACCAATATATATATATATTAATAACAAAATACAGTTAGAATGAAATTGCATATGAATATATAATTTTAATAAAATTTTGTTTCAATATTTTATTTATTTATTTTATTATTTTATTTATTTATTAATGTATTTATACGTATATATATATATATATATATATATAATATATGTGTATATATCTATTATATATATAATATATATACATATTATATATATGTAACATCATTCTGAGTGTATTTTAATACTAATATATATACTAATATTAGTATTAAAATACACAACGTATGACGTTATATATATATAATATATATACATATTATATATATATATATAATGTCATACGTTGTGTATTTTAATATATATATATGTATATATATATATATATAAATGTAATTTATTTATTATAAAACTTGTCTAATTTTTTTTTTTTATTTCCCACCAGCAGGGGGACTGTCTAATATTTCAGACAGCCCCCCCTGCTGGCAGATCCACAGCCAGCTATGGTGGGCCATGTGATCGCTCTTTGAGAGCGGTCACATGGCCCTCGGGGGCCTCACTTGCCGGAGGAGGGTTGCCTGGGCGGTCTGGCAGCCCTCCAGAAGAGGATCGCAGCGGAGGTAAGTAGCTGCGATCCCCTGGGGCTGAAAGCCGTTACAGCGTTCTATGCCGCCGCAACGGCTTTAAAGCCCTTTAAAGCCGCGACGGCATAGAACGCCGTAACGGCGTTAAGGGGTTAAATACCCCTCCTGATGTGGATAACTCGTTCCGGGTGTCACAGAACTCCATATCCTGTTCTGGCTGTATTTAGTCACTTCTGGTGTGACGCAATCATGTGACTCCCAGTCCGGCTAAGTCACGTGACCGCATTGCGTTCCACCATGCATTCCAAACATTCATTATTCATTAGCATGGTGGAATAGTCCTTATAATGTATTTACAGTTCATAATAAGTGTGGGCAATTGACCTAAAGTGCAAATATAATCAAAGGAGACAGTAAACCGATAAGAAGATAAATACATCTTTAAAATATGCTAAGGAATAAAAAGTGACCTAATTTAAACAGAAATGTAAGATCATATATTAAATGAAAAGGAAATAATCAGGGAAGATAATAAATATGCAAATTAACTTAAAAATTTATAAAAAAAGTAAGAACCCTCCCCCCCCCCAAAAAAAAAAGTTTCATTTTTTTTTTTTATAACTTGCATCTATCCATACATATATTTAATATAAATAAGTAAAAAAAAAATTTTTTAAATGGACTAACTCAAAATCTATGTTAAGACCTTTAGGGCACATAGTAAAGTAAAAATCTATTTGCCCTCTGGTTTGCTGAGTTCTTTAAAATTATCTTCCCCTCTCCAATCCATCTTCCTTTTCCCTATCAACATAAAACCCAGATGGGAAACATCACTGTTGTGTTTTTATAAAAAATGTGCTGACACACTGTGTTTGGTGTATCCCCTCCATATGTTACCCATGTGCTCCATAATGTGGGTCTTAAAACATCTGGTGGTCATGCCCACATACTGGAGCCCACAGGGACACCAGAGGAGAAACACCACATTGGCAGAGTGACACATCACAATGTCACGTATTTTAAAACAATCTCCCATAACATTGGACTGAAACATAGCTTGTGCATATTTTTTAAAATAGGTGTTTTTACACAGTAAGCACACCTTGCAAGTATGAACCAAGTTTCTCACTAAAAAATGTTTCACTTTGTTTAGGTTTAATAAAACTTCTAACTAGACTATCCTTAATATTTTTAGCACCTTTAAAAACAATATTTGGTCTTTCACCTATTATTCCTTTTAATTCTTCATCTGCTTTTAAAATGTGCCAATGCTTGTTAATTATATTTTTAAGTTGTTTAGAGTTTTCATTAAAATCTAAAACCATTGGAATATCTCTGTCTTCCATTGGTTGTTTATCTTTTTTATATTTATATTTAAGAACTTAATTTCTATCCAAACATTTCACTTGTGACATTTGTTGATTTAATACGGTGAAATTGTAATTTTTCTTTTTAAAATAGGAGGTTAAAATATTTGCTTGAATATCAGATTGATTAGGATTAGAGATGTCGCGAACTGTCCGCCAAACTGTTCGCAAACTGTCCGCCGGCGAACAATAGCGTGTTCGCGTTGGGCGAACATATCCGATTTCCGGTCCGCCCCCTATACGTCATCATTGAGTAAACTTTGACCCGGAACCTCACAGCAAGCAGACACATTCCACCCAATCAGCAGCAGACCCTCCCTCCCAGGAAGTGTCTGCTGACTGTGAGGTTCCGGGTCAAAGTTTACTCAATGATGACGTATAGGGGGCGGACCGGAAATCGGATATGTTCGCCCAACGCGAACACGCTATTGTTCGCCAGCGGACAGTTGGCGAACAGTTCGGCAGACAGTTCGCGACATCTCTAATTAGGATCTGTGCAATTTCTTAATAACCTAATATATTGCCCTTTGGGCATATTGTTGATCCATGGTGCATAATGACAACTCGTTGTGTCAATGTAACTATTGACATCAACCGATTTAAAAAGTCTTAGTCTTTATGTTGTTGTCCTCTACATAAATTACTAAATCTAAAAAGTTCACTTGAGCTTTACTGTATTCACTAGCTAGGGTAATTGTCCTCTGGTTGTTATTTTTAAAATTCTAAAAATAATTTAAGATGACATTCTTCCTCCTTCCAAATAAAAAAAATATTGTCGATATATCTGCAATAGAGGACCAAGTTTGCACTCCAGGAATTATCCCCCAAGAGAAAATATTTCTCCCAGAAGGACATAAATAAATTTGCATAACTTGGTGTAAACTTGGTCCCCATCGAAGTCTCGACTAATTGTAAAAAATATGAACCCTTGAACCAGAAGAAATTATTCTGTAAAATCAATCTAATACGTTCTAAAATAAAATCCCTCTGGTTCTCTGGAACCAAACTATTCTGTAAGAAATCTTCCACTGATTCACAACCTAAGTCATGTAGTATGATCTTGTATAAGCTATTTACATCACAGGTGACTAAAACACAATGATCTTCCCATATTAAACCTTGCAATTCCCTAATCAATTGGGAAGAGTCCTTATGATAAGTGGTTTGGG